CCACAGAGGGGACAGAGCAGCAGTGGGGACCAGGGAACCCTCACTCATGCCACCAACACAAAACTGCAGTCTGGTCAGGACCTGCCTCTCAGATGACACAGGAATCTTCACCTGGTGGATCTTCATAGCCAGAGTCTGCAGGTCACAGAGAGCAGGCAGCTGTCCCGGGACCACAGCGCCCTCAGCATTGACGCCGTCAGACAGGAGGATGCCGGGGTGTATCAGTCTGAGGTCTCCAACCCTGTCATTTCTATCAAGAGTGACATCCTCACCTGGCACTGAATTATAACCCACCTGTGGCCCCACCTATCAGTTATTCAACTCTGTTGAATTTTTTTTTCTGTAAAGTGGTAGTTATTAGGTGTGGAGAGTGGTGTCAGAGAATGGGAGAGCAGAGTCTGAGATTGGGGTCTCTGATGACCTCTTGGGTGTGGCATGCCTGGTGCCTGGAAGTGCTTCTGTGCAAAGGTGCAGGATGCCCACCTGCTGTGGTAATGTCCTGCATGAGAAGACTGGGCTAGACTCTTAGCAGCCTCGACCTTGATCTCAGGCACACAGCTCCTGGGATTAGAGAAACTCTCCTGCTAGACAACCACAATGTTTTACCAGCTCCTCCTGAACCTGCCTGCCTAACAGTAACTTTAAAGGATGGACTTTCTAGAGAGCTACACAAAGCTCCTAACCTTGCACCTTGCAACTGTAGAATGTAACTGGGAAAAAGCTGCATAATGTTGCCAGCCCTGTAACTTTCTGAGTACAAAGAATAATGCTTCTATAGTCTTAAACTTGATGATGAGACATAAATATATAAAGATTGCTGGCTTAACTCTTTAGATCTGCTTCTCCATCAGAGAGCAGCACTCCACCTGGCCCCAGCTTTATCTTCAAAATCTGCATCTGTCTTTATTTTTCTTATCCCCCTTTGCCCCTGGCTGGAACCTGCTAATTTAGCCACCCCGGTTGCGGCAATCAGGCACTTATGTTTAGACAGCTGTTGAGAATCCTTAATCTATTGAAGGTGGAAAGTCCTCAGAACTTGAACTGAGTCAGTAAATGCTCCAAACCATGAATTGACATGCTCGTTATTCTTGACCTAAGGTCCTGTGCAACACCAGGTCCCACCCTTTGCAGGTCTCACAGGCACCCTCTCCACTGTGGAGCGAGATGGTGTTCTGTAGGGACAGGGGCACCAGTGCTGAGACCCAGTGAGAGATGGTGCTGAGAGGACAAGGCCCCTCCCCCCATGTGGTTTCATCATCCCTCTGGAAGATGCTCCCAGGCACACCTGCCCCAGGGGACCCAAGCCCAGGCTGAGTCCTGCTAAGGATGAACCCCAAAGCCCTGAGTACCCACCACCAGCCCTGACCAGCCCCTGCAGGTCTTGCCCTCCTGGACCAGCAAACACCAGCCCCTACCCAGGGAGGGGCCTTCATCCACTACGACACAAAGGATTGATTCCTGGACACATGTAATGTTGTTGGAGTGAGGACCACAGCTTTTCCATAACAGGGTGGCCTCTGTCCTCCCCAAGGCCCAGGGCTCTCTCCCTCAGGTTCTCTGTCTCCCCAAGGGCTCTGGGTTCTCTGTATCTCTGAACCTCAGTTTGAAGGAAGCTGCTCTAATGCACCCCTGACCCTATGAGGGACAGCTGGGCACAGGTGGGTCCATCACAGACAATTTTAGAGGTCCACCATGCCCTGGAGCTATAGAGGGTCCCTGGTGGAGCTGGCTGGTGGGTGACCCTCTCCACACTCTAGGCTTCAACCACAGAGCTGATGTGGTGACCTCTATCCACAGCTGTCCCAGGGAGCTCATGGCACCTCAGATCCCTGCCCTGAGTATAGTGGTGAGTCTTGCTCCATGAAGCCTGCTAAGGGGGAATTTTTCCAGAGAAGTTGTTTTTCTTTGTTTCTTGCTCTTCTCTCTTGTTCTGCAATATTTTTTTTTTTGAGGGGGGCTTTCAGGATCCAACCCAGGGGTGCTTAGCCACTGAACCACATCCCTAGCCCTTTTTATTTAGATACAGACTCTCGCTAAGTTTTGAAGGCCTTGCTAAGTTGTTGAGACTGGCCTTGAACCTAGGCTCCTCCTGTCTCAGCTTCCAGAGATGCAGGGATCATAGGTGTGCACCACTGTTCCTTGTTCTTTTTCTGTTACCTTAAACAATGAGGTCAGCTATTCTTGGAAATAAACAAACAAATAAACAAACAACAAAAACACCCAGTATCTAATCAGTAACTTTTCTCTAGAGTTACACATCCCAGAATATTTGGTGACTTTCAATTAACAATAGCACATGTATCAGAGAAACAGACCCCTGCTGGGCCCAGTGGCATGCTCTTGGAAGCTTAGTGACTTGGCAGGCTGAGGCTGGAGGTCACAAATTTAAGGCCAATCTTAGAAAGTTAGAAAGATCCTGCTTCAAAATAAAAAATAAACATGGCTGAGGATAGGACTCTGCTGCCACCTCCATAGACCCCCACCTGCCACATATAAGCCTTCACCTTGGGATAATGGACAAGGCCTGGAGGCAGCAGCCTGCTGCAGCACTGCATGCTTTAGTGCTGCATGCCACAGAGCTGCATCTCCAAACAGGCTGCCCAATGTCTCTGTATGGCATAACTTCTCAGCCCCATCTCTGAAAGTGGTTGCCTCCATCTTTGGACACCTCCGCCACCATCTTGGGTTATCTCTGCTGCCATCACCACCATCTTTAGTTGGGGCAGCTTCCATCTTAGGACACTGGCTAGGGCCTGGAAGCCTAACATCAAGGTATCTACAGGTCTGATGCTGCCTGCTTCATCAAGTAGGGACATGCCTGCTTCCATCTAAAGACAACAGCCAGGACCTGGAAGACCATCACCAAGGTCCCTGCAGGTTTGGTTACATCAGGTATCCCTGTTAGCCTACTTCTCTTGATTCCTCTTTCACTCTTCCTGTGATCTAATACTGCTATATTCTCACCTCTTACTTCATCAACCCCACATCCTACACCCCAGTCCCCCACTCTCTCTTTGTCCACCATTAGAAACTGTAGCCCCTTATGCAAACCTACTATTTATATTATAGATATTAATCAAACACATCATTTCTGTTTATTGAGAGAAAACTGATTGTTTGAATAGGAGCTATATGGTTTAAGACAGCAGATTATTTGCATTGGGTGCTGTAAATATTGATCTCCCCCTTAAAGGTGAAGTATTGGTAACCTGCAGGGACACTACAAGATTGTAGGGCTAGAATACCTCGGATCCACACTACTAGAAAGGTAGATACATAGACAACATGAAAAACAAGAGAAGAAAGTATCCCAAACAAACCACAATGCCACAATAATAGAATCCATTGACAGCATAGTAGATGAAAGGTCAGAGAAGGAATTCAGAATATACATAATTAAAATGATCTGCGAAGCAAGGAATGGTATAAGAGAGCAAATACAGGCAACAATTGATCACTCCAACAAAGAGTTCAGAGAACAAATACAGGTAGCAAAAAGATTACTTCAAATAAAGAGGCAGAGATTCTGGAAAAAACAAACAAACAAACATTTCTTTGAAACGAAGGAACCAATAAACCAAATTAAAAATTCAATAGAAACATCACCAACAAATTATATGACTTGGAAGAAAGAACCTCAGGCAATGAAGACCAAATATATAATCTTAAAAATAAAGTTGAACACATAATGAAGATGGTGAGAAACCACGAACAGAACCTCCAAAAATTATGGGGGTAATATGAAAAGAACAAATCTAAGAATTATCAGGATAGAGGAAGGCACAGAGATACAAACCAAGGGAACACATAACCTCTTCAATGAAATAATATCAGAAAATTTCCCAAACATAAAGAATGAATTGAAAAATCAAATACAAGAGCTTACAGGACACCAAATGTACAAAATTACAACAGATCCACATGAAGGCACATTATAATGAAAATGCCTAGCATACAGAATAAGGATAGAATTTTAAAAGCTGCAAGAGAAAAATTTCAGGTTACATATAGGGGGAGAGCAATTCGGATCTCAGCAGATTTTTCCACCTAGACCCTCAAAGCTCGGAGATCCTGGAACAACATATACCAAGCTCTGAAAAAAATAAAAATAAAAAAATAAATGGATGCCAACCAAGAATCTTATATCCAGCAAAATTAAGCATCAGCTTTGATGACAAAACAAAAACCTTCCATGATAAACAAGAGTTAAAAAGATCCCACCCTTTGCAGATCTCAGAGGCATCCTTTCCACTGTGGAGTGAGATGGTGTTCTGTAGGGACAGGGGCCCCTGGGCTGAGACCCAGTTGGAGACGGTGCAGAAATGAGAAAGCCTCTCCTACCATGTGATTTTACCATCCCATTAGAAGATGCTCCCAGGCACACCTGCTCCAGGAGTCCCAAGCCCAGGGTGAGTCCTGGTAAGGATGAACCCCAAAGCCCTGAACACCCACCACTATGACTGCACCAGCCCCCGCAGGCCTCACCCTCCTGGAACAGCAAACACCAGCCCCTACCCAGGGAGTGGCCTTCATCCACCATGACACAGAGGATTCCTGGACACATGTAATGTCATTAGAGTGAGAACAACAGCTTCTCCATAACAGGCCTGCCTCTGTCCTCCCCAAGGTCCAGGCTCACTCCCTATCCTATGGGTTCTGGGAACTATGTACCTCTGAGCCCAATTTGAAGGATGGTGCCCCAGTGTGCCCTGACTCTGTGAGGGACAGCTGGGCACAGGTGGGCACCATCATGGACAACTCCAGATGTGCCCCATGCCCTGGAGATATAGAAGGTCCCTGGTGGAACTGCTGGTGGGTGACCCTCTCCACACTGTAGACTTCAGATCATCAACTACAGAGTTGATGTGGTGACCTCCATCCAGACCTGTCCCCAGGAAGCACATGACACCCACCAGAGAATAGTGGTGGGTCCTGCCCCACAGAACCTGCTAAGGTGGAGTTTTTCCAGAGAAGTTGCAGGACAGGGGTTGGGAATTTACCTGGACACCAGATGCTCGTGATGTGGCTCTAAGGCAAGGCAGAGCTCTTGCCTAGTATGTGCAACGCCCTGGGTTCTGTCCTTGGCCCTGAAAAAAAAAAGTAAAATATATCAGGACAGAGGACACTCAGGACGGACTCATCTCTTAGTTCCAACCCAGGTGGGTGACTGGTGAATGAGCAGGCAGCCCCTCCAGCTGGCTCTCACTGTGTCCCTCAGGGTCCCCCACCCCCAGCACCCAGGACTGACCACATCACCAGAGAAGGCCCTGAGACAGAGAGCTCGGAGAGAAATGGACACATGGAAGCCCTGGGCCCCTGCTGCTCACCTTCCAAGGGCATGTCCTGAAGGCACTGTCCAAGAGGGGTGCCTCTGCCCAGCCTGGCTCTGTGGACAGTGCCTGTGCCCTCCTGCCCTGCCCTGCCCTGCCCACTCCCTGGGTCCTTCTCCAGGTGCCTCTAGACAAACCTGGTGTGGCTGTGCCCCTGTGAGGTGTGTAGAGGGGCTGAGTCTCTGGGGCATGTGTCTCAGAGCCACGTCACAAACATCTCTGGTGTCCAGGACTGAAGAGGAAGGACGGGGCTCCAGCTCCTCCAGGTGAGACAGAAAGTGCCAATCCTGGGTTCCCTAAGTGCTTCATGGTTCCTTCTGCAGAGAGTCAGGCCTGGTCACCTGGAGCAAGACCTGGGCCAGGCCCTCCTGTGTCAGCGCATCCTGGAGTCTGTGTCTGGGGAGGCCGATGCTCTGTTCCTGGGAACACCAGGCCCTGATGGGACACTTCCTGCCTGACCTTCAGGACGCAGGCCCCTCAGGCCTCAGTTCTGCATGCACAGAAAGGGTCTCTCTTCCATAAATAAAGTGGGTCTTTGCCCTGCTCTGACCCCTCCTCCTCCTCCTAGTCTCAACCACTGGATGGATGTCACAAACCACAGTCATCCCAGAAGCAAGGAGGTCCCATCTCCCCCTCCTCCTGTCTCACAGAGCCCTTCCAGATCCTTCTCTGACAGACTCACAGGGCCCTTGGGGGAGATCTGGGCCTGGCCACAGGAAGGGTCATGTCTGCTGGACCATCCAGGGAATGCAGATGGTGGCTACTGTACCGATATGAAGGTGCTGAGGGGAACCACCTGTGGCCAGGCATTGAGCTTCCTGCTTGGAGGACAGCAGAGCTCCAGACACGGTGGTGACTTGGGGGGATGGACAGATTCCACTCAGGGAGACCCCCCACAGAGGACCCCTCCAAGCTGACAATCAGGGTGTGCCCCACCTGCTTTAGGACCTGCCCTAAAGGGGATTTGACCCCAACAGGTGGAATCACACTAAAAGCCACAAACAGCCCCAACTTATGGCCTTGCCAACCAGCAGGACAGAAGTCTGATTGTCCCTTCAGTGCAAATCACTGGGTTTGATTCCCCAAATCCCAGCACATTTGGCCTCCTCGGGGCCTATGCAGTCTCCAGAGGAGGCCAGGGCACCGGGATGTCACATGTTCCTCACAGATCCATCCTTTTCCCCCTGACCCACCTCAGGAGTCACAAACACACAGGGGAGAGCAAACCCTCAGCACCTGCTGCTCTGTCACTGGAACTTTCCAAGGCTGTGTGTCTCACTCTCCTCCTGAAGACCTCACTTTCCTCCCCACAAAGGGACCCTCCCCTTGTATTTGAGGGAGACCCTAAATGCACTCTCCAGCTTCACTTCCTTTCAGTTGACTTTAAACAGCACTAATTTTGGAGTCACACCCTGGAGCAAGACAATATTAGCCTCCCAGTAGCTTAGCTCTAGAGGACAAGGATGACCTGACTACCCTGGGGTTAAAAGTGTTCTCCAGCAAAAGTTGAGGTTCTTTTAAAATTGTTTTTTTCTCTTCTGCCTAATATATATCTAATATATATATATATATATATATATATATATATATATATATATATTTTTTTTTTTTTTTTTTTTTTTTTTTTTTTAGGGGGGGCTTTTGGGATCCAACCTCGGCGTGCTTAACCACTGAACCACATCCTCAGCCCTTTTTATTTTGAGGCAGGATCTCACTATATTTTGGGGTCCTTGCTAAGTTGCTGAGGTTGGGCTCAAACCTAGGCTCCTCCTGCCTCAGCCTCCACAGTTGTGGGATTACAGGTGTCCACCACTGTGCCCAGCTCTTCTTCTGTTATCTTAAACAATAGGTCAGCTATTTCTGAAAAAAGACAGAGTCTAATCAGTAAGTTTTCTCTAGAGTTACAGACCCCAGAACACTTGGTGACTCTCAGATAACAATAGCACATGCTTCAGAGAAGCAGACCACTGCTGGGCCCAGTAGCAGGTTCCTGGAATCCCAATGGTTCGGGAGGCTGAGGCAGGAGGTCACAAGTTCAAGGCCAGCCTCAGCAACTTAGGAAGACCCTGTTTCAAAATACAAAAGAAAAAGGGCTGGGGATGTAGTTCAGTGGTAAAGCACCCAGGGCTTCAGTCCCCAGTATAAAAGGAAAAAGAAAGAAAGAGAGAAAAAAAGAAAAGGAGAGCACCACAGGATTGATGAGCCCCTAGCACTCACGCTGTCTGAGACTAAAGAGGTATTTCACTAAAGTCCCCACCCAGGCCCTGTGCCTGTGACCCCCTGGCAAGGTGGCTTTCTCAGGATGGAAATCCCCATCTGCTAAGTTGCCAGCTCTCGTCAATAATGCTCTCTTCCCCCTCACTGTGTCTCCCAAGATGCTGTCCTCCATAGGTGGCAGCTGAACTGCACTTTTCAGGGTTCACATCACTGTGTGGGAGGATCCCTGCAGAATGGAGGTGAATGAGAGACAGGGGTCCACACAGAAGCAAGGCCATGAAGCACGTGGGTGGGGATCAGCAGGAGGAGGCAGGTCACAGAGGAGGAAAATTAACACTCAGGTCACTACAGAACTGAGGGTTGACTCACTGAAGGTGATTTGCTTGTTTTTGAGGTTCTGGGGACGGAACCTTGGTGCATGATAGGCAAGCGCTCTGCCAGGGAGCTGCGACCCTAACCCTTGAAGGTTATTTTTGAAAATTCTTCTGAACTTGGATCATGTAAACAAATGTTTGTTCTAGTTGTCTCGGAGACGTGACCGCCCACATGATCATCTTCCCTGACTCCTCCCTTCATGGGCAACAGCTACAAATGTTCCAGGAGTCTAGATTCTGGTCTGTGGTATGATTTCTTTCTCTTCTTCTCGTCATTGAAAGAACAAGAACTCCCAGAAGGACAGAATATTCCACCCCTTGGAGCAGGAGAGATCTGAAATGGCCTTTGATTCTCATCCCCTTGTGATTTAGGTAACCCAGAAATCAATGACAAACTACGGAAAGAAGGGGACTCCTTCACCTGAGAAGGCATCTACAAACCCTTCAACAACTGGATGTCATGGTGCATGCTTGTAATCCCAGTGGATTATGAGGCTGAGGCAGGAGGATCACAAGTTCGAGGCCAGCCTCAGCAACTTAGTGAGGCTGTAAGCAGAGGCCCTGTCTGTAAATAAAAAAAATAATAAGGACTGGAGATGTGGCTCAGTGGTTAAGCATCCATGGATTCAATCTCTGGTACCAACAAAATAAAACAAAACAAACAAACCTCTCAAACATTTGGGAAGTCATTGAATATGACTCAGCTCCCATACCAAGCCCAAAAGAACAAACACAAATGGAGTCAATTGTACAAAATGAAACTGATCAACAGAGCATTCTACTCATGTACAATGGCCGAGTGACTGTTGGTTACAGCCACGGAGCTTCAGTGGGTCACAGTGTCAATCAGTCTGTCCTGGGCAGCCACCTGATTCAAACACAGCAAACCAGCCAGGCTCTGAACCTCACTGCGGTCTCCACACCTCACTTCCTTTTCCCACCATAAACCATGCTGGGCCACGTGGCAGCCCTGGGGTTCTTTGGAGCTGCTGGTTCTGATCCCTGCCTGATTCCAGAAACAGGTACAGAAGCCAGTTACTATCTCTAACCAAATTTGTGGTAATTGTGTCTTTGGACAAACCTTACAGCAAGCGCCAGACTCACTGATCACCATTAAGACTGGGCCTCAGTGCAGAGGTGCAAGGACAGGGGCAGAGCCACCAGTCAGAGAAGGACAGCAGAGGACAAGGCAGAGTCACAGGAGGGCTGGTGAGGGGCACCATGGTGGGGGGCAGAGCTCCCTGAGGAGACCTGGGCCTCGGAGAGGGCAGCTCCAGGGACCCGGAGAGCCAGGCTCACATCCCTGACCACAGCCCACACATGGGAAGCCAGTGCTGTGGGCCTTTTCTGGGGGTGACTCTGAGGTGACCTCAGGAATGTGGCACTCAGCAGGTTCCCTGCATACACTGTAGACAGAGGGGCCTCCAGAGGACACTCTTCTTGTGGCAGATCTGGACACAGTAGGACAACATGCTGAGCCCTCTCTGGTGAGGCAGAGCTGACTCAGGTCACTCCCCTGCGGTCCACCCCCTGCTCCTGTCTGGTGAGTGGAACTCCAAGGTCCGTGGACAACAGTGTGGATGTGCCATCTAACATGGACAGTTCCCAACAGGATATGAACAGCGAAGAAGAGTGGCCCAACCCACAACAGGAAACACCATTTTCAAGTCCTACTCTTTCTATTCTTGCTTTAAATAGACATCTATTTAATGATGTTTAATCATAGCATTGAGGTTGACAGGGACGTTCAAGGGGAACCTGTAGCTCCAAACCCCAAAATCTCAAAATCCCTTATTAGCCTGAGGCTGCACATGTATGCAGGTTCTCTCTCTCTCTCTCTCTCTCTCCCCCCACCCCCCTCAGGATACCTGCAGGATCTTAGACAGCACCAGGAGACATCAGGAGCACACACAGCCAATGACAGGCACGATGCTGCTGGGCAGTCAGCTCATGGACTTCTGTGAGGACTGAGATGGGGGATGATTGCTGGGTCTGCTGTGAGGCTGGGGCATCAGGGAGCTGGGATCAGGAGGCCCAGGGAGGAAGGAGCACTATTCCTAGCAGAGAGCACAGCTGTCTGCAGCAGCTGCACATGCAGAGAGTCAGGGCCAGGCTGATGGTGCTCCCAATACCAACCTGCATCAGAGTGTGGAACCTGAAGTCTGAGCAGTGCATGCATAGCACTGAGGTTGACAGGGATATTCAGGGGAACCTGCAGCTCGAAACCCCAAAATCTAATAAATAAGAAATACCTCCTATTTCCCATTAAATTCCCGGTTCCCACAGCACAAGCCACCTGCCATCTACACTAGCAAGTTCAGTCATTCCTGGGTCCCACCCACCCCAGTCCCTGGCTCCCCAGCTCTGCTCAGCTGCTGCCACCTCCTGGGGACTCCTGATAATCAGGACTCAGGGGCCCCAGTGCTGGTCCTACAGTACAACAGGAAGGACTCTGCCTTAAGTTGGCCCTTTGCCCTTGTGGGGGCAGAGGTTTAATGACAGCCACTCAGAAGACCTGGGGGGTAGGAGAGAGGTGGGCAGCCACACAGAGCTGCACAGTGAGATGGGGACAAAGTGCTGGTGTAGGACCCAGGGCCTCAGCTGTGAGGGTGGCTGTGGCTAGGAGCTCAGGAAGGGAACTGAGGAGCACAGAGGTGGGAAGTTCATGAACATTTGTAGGGACAAGGCTGGATTCCCAGAGGACCACCCTGACCACTGTCAGCTGCAACACTCAGAGCCTGGGCGCCTCCTGGCTGCCCATCAACCAAGAGCTCCCACCTCCATCTCCTAACTCACCTGCTTCCTCCACTGTCTGACTCTAGGGGAAGGTTCCAGATCCTCCTCTGCCCTGCAAGGGGGTGGTGGGAAGCCCAGTTCCCTACAGACAACCAGCAACAGCCCCTGCTGAGGTGAGTGGGCAGGACCACACACGCCCAACTTCCTGGTCCCCAATCAGGGGTGACAGTGAGGACCAGAGCCCTCCTGCTCCCTCAAGCCCTGATAGGCATCTGTGCCTGGTGACTGTCACATCCCTCCTGATTCTTCCAAATGAGGATACCTGGGAGGTCCCGTATCCCATTGTAGAAGGTCCACTCTGGAATGTTCCACAGCAGCCCTGCTGACACCTATTTACAAAAATCCCAGGTGACACAGCCTTTCAGGACACATGCTTGCAGACATTTCCCCCAGTCACATGGGCAGAGGCATCAGGTTCCTGAGTGTCCAGCCACTGAGTCTGACATTTCCCCTCCAAATGACCTAGGCTCTGGCGTTGGTTCTGGGTCACCAGTCCAGGTGCAAAAACCTCTTACATGAGGTTCTTCCCTGGGTCCCAGGTGCCTGTCCCAGGAGCTCCCTCTAGAGCAAATCCTCAGCTCCACCCAGGACTGGGACTGGGACATCAAGGCTCCCCTGAGCTCAGGGAAGAGCATGCTTTCGCCCTCTAGTTGACATTTCCTGCCAGGTGCAAACAGAGGCCCCCATGGAGGGCAGGTGAGGGTTGACCTTAGGCAAAGGGCACCTTCAAGGGATGAAACTGAAGATGCAATGGGAGGGAGCCATGGTGGGGGAGAGGTGGTGAGGGATGGGAAGAAGCAGGGGAAGGGGAGGCTCTGGGAAGGTCGGGGAAGGGCGCAGAGCAGGGCTCCCCTCTCCTCTCCACTGACACTGGGGCTGGTCATCCTGTGGGGCTGTGTGCTGTGGGGTGTTGAGCACCATCTGGGATTCTTAGTCCTGTGGGACCCCCACCCCCAGCTGTGACAATCAACAGCGTCTACACCAACCTCCAGTAACAACTCCGCATTTGAAATCCTCCCCCTCTTGGCAGAAGAACTGAGGGTAAGAGGGCAGAGACTGATGTTTGTCACGACCAATCACTTGAAGTCCCTGGAGAAGACATGTTTCAAAGTATGGCCACACGGCTGCCTGAACCTCCACAGCACTGAGGGCTTCCTGGCTCTGTAGCCACACATCAGTGACACCTGCTGGGTCCATGACATCATGGACATGGGGAGCTCTGTGCACACTGGGAAGAGGAAGCCTGTGATCTGATCCTCAGCAGTACTTCCAACAAGCAGGATGCAGGAAAATGAATCCTTCCTTGTAAAGACGTTAAAAAGTGAAAATGAATTTATTCATTTATTTTTTAAAAACTTAAAAGAATTTACCATAAAAGACTGAACTTGTTTTTCAAAATGAGTATCAACCCATATGTTTTTATCAAAATTACTTATAAGCAAAGAAGTGGCATGAGTTTAAGAGCAAGTGAAATGCCAGGAGAAAATATTTGCAAATAAACTTGTGATATGGATTTCATGTCTAGATTATATAACAAATGGGTATAAACCTGCACCCAAAGAAGAACCTAAATTTAGAATAGGTCAAGGACCCTGGCACAGTCCTGTAATCACAGGAGTCAGATGCAAGATTCACAAGTTTGATGCCAGCCTGGGCACCTGTCCAAAACAAAAGTAAATAAATACATGTAAAGGCTGGGGGTGTAGCTCAGAGGTACAGCGCCCCTCAGATCAATCCCCAGCAGTGAAAGAGAAGAGGGAGGGCAAAGGCTTGGAAGGCCTGTCTCCAGAGATGTTCCAGTGGCCAATAAGCACATGACAAGACGCTCAGTGTCATCAGTCACTAAGGAAGCAAATCAAAATCACAATGACACCTCACCCCACACCTTCCTACATTCCCCAGGGACTCTGAAGAGCTGCAGTCACAGTGGAGAACTCTTGGGCACTTCCTGCAAGAGCCAGGCAGAAGCCCATGTACCCAGCACTCCCACGGCTGGGCACGTGCCCACGGGATGGGAAACAGGGACTCCAATAGCTCCCCCAGGCTAAGGCTCGCCACACCATTCTTCACAACAGGCAGGTGTGGAAACAACCCCGTGTCCATCAACAGAGAATACATAAATAAATATGGCTTACAAATATGTTGCATTATTGATTGGCCATAAAAAATAAAGTTCTGATGCACATTACAACCTGAAGAAACCTGAAAACCTGATTCAACAAGAAGCAAATGGTATGTGGTTGTATAATTTCATTTATATGAAATATCTAGAATAGGCAAATTCATAGAGACAGAAAATAGATTCAAGGTTATCCAAGGCTAGAGAGTCCTGAGATGTGATAGCTTAATGGTTAGAGTTTTAGTGGTGATGAAATAATCCTGGAAATAGTAGTGGTCGTTATATATTTGAATGGAATCATGGTATGTATTTGCACATTTACAAGGGTTAATATAGCACATTTTTGTTATAAGTATTACACAATTAAAAGTTTTTAAGAAAGATGTATAAAATACACCCACTCTGCTTAAATAGTGTGTGTGTGTGTGTGTGTGTGTGTGTATGAGAGAGAGAGAGAGAGAGAGAGAGAGAGAGAGAGAGGTGAGGGACTAGGGATTGGCCCCAGGGGCACTCTATCACCAATATACATTTCATTTTTTATTTTGAGACAAAGTCTCACTAAGTTGCCTGGGCTGGCCTCAAACTAGCAATCCTCCTGTCTCAGCCTCCTGAACAGCTGGGATGAGAGGCTGTGTCATGTGTCTGGCCAGATAATCTTTATAATACTCACACGACGACTCCGATAGGCCCTTTAAGACGAAGATCCAAGGATTTAAAGACAAGAAACAAGCAGCCAACTGCAGACCCAGCTCACAAAGCTAGTGCTTCCACCATAAAGCCTCAAGAGACACTTCCTGAGGTCCTTCCTTTGAACCCTCAGGCACAGATGGCCCCTCCTGAGGCTGCCCATCCCCTGGGTGCACAGTTCTCCTACTCTGGAGCAGGAGACCCCAGGACAGCTCCCGTTCTCTCACTAGACTTACTGGACAGAATCAGGAGGCCTGGGGACCCTGAGTAAGCAGGACCCATTCTGCAGCCTGTAAGTCAGGGCCACCTGTGCCCAGGGTCAGGGCCAGCCTTCATCATTTAGACGCTGGGCTGCATCCCTGCTACAGACCCTGACATTGGCCACAGTTGTCCTCATGAACACCAGGGGGCGACATGAGATGCGCAGTCAACACTTGGCAAATTGATGCTGAGGCTTGGACTAGGCTTTGTCTCAGGAGGTGGAATTGTGGCCTGATTTCCATCCCCAATAGACTGCAGGGTGTCTCCCACCCCCACTCCTTACTGGTTCTGTGAGGACCCTGCACAGCCAGGGGGCTCTGAGCAGGCCCTGCCTCCTGGCATCACCCATGAAAAAAGTCAGGGTGACCACAGGAGAATCACTAGGTAGAGGACAGAGGCCACCCAAGGAAGGCATGGGCAGGCCTGAGCCACAGCTGCACCAAAAAATGAAGAGTGAGGGTCTCCCTAAAATCTCTCCCTGAGGACAAGGAGCCCATGGTCACCTACCTCCACTACCACAGTGCTCCCCTCCCAGGACACAAAGGGTATGAAGTCCTGAGATAGCCACTCAGAGGCCAAGCTGGGGACACCAGGACAGAGAGCAGGTCCCCTCACCAGCCATCACTCAGTGGGCCCCTTTCCTGACCCCAGAGCTATTTCTGTCCGTCCCCTTCCTACTGGAAGGAAATCCACATTCCTAGAGCATTTGAGAACATGGGGAAGATGTGGGGCTAACCTGGGATTCTCTATCATAAAGGAAATACGCCCAGGGGTGAGGGGACCCCAGGGGTTCCCTGTGTGCTGCTGAGAGCCCTGAGGCCAGGACACAGCTGAGGCCAGTGCTGGGTGAGCCACTTCTCTCAGGGGACAGCGTCCCCACCTGCCTTGCTCCTCAGGGTGTGGCATGCAGCAGTGAAACCCAACAGGGAAAGCAGAAGGGACAGGAGGCAGGACTGAGAGGGAGGGGACAGAGAGGTTCCTCCACAGAGACCCCGCCCCCAGCCCTGTGACCCAGGAAAGTGCTCCTGCCCTGGGAGGAGGCTGAGCTCAGAGAGGAGCAGGGCAGCAGGGCTGAGTGGCCTGGACCTGGGCTTCCCAGCGGGTCTCAGTGAAGCTCCTTCCACAGAGGGGACAGAGCAGAGGGACCATGCAGCCCCCCTCAGCCTGTCCCTGCAGAGGGGGCATCCCCTGGCAGGGGGTCCTGCTGGCAGGTAAGAGGGACAGTTCCCAGAGGAGGCAGGAGGTGGGAGCACAGTCTTGCTGGTGCCCCCTGGGGAGGACATGACCCTCACAGGGGACACAGGGCTTCACTCTGTCCCATTGGGAATCCATTGGGAACAGAACACAGAGACAGAGAGAAGCTCACCAAGAGGAACAGATGAAGGGGGATGGAAAGCTCAGGGGTTCTCTTTTCCAAGTTACTCACCAGGGGCCATTATATTTTGAAAATTGGTGTTAACAGCTCTGTCAGGGCCACTCTCCAAATAGAAAGGCAACTTGAGCAGTGGACACTGTCTGCAGCCACCAGCCTCAGACATTGGCACACAGACACCTGGACCCTCAGGGTGGGGACACAGCTTCACTCATCCACAGGAGGCTGACCCTGGTCCAGGCCCTGGGCCACAACAAGGGTCAGACTAGTCTCTGCCTCCTGGAGCTTCCTCTCTAGAGGGCAGGAAGCCAGGCCAGAGGGAGATCTGCAGGTGAGGCCAGGTGCTGTGTAGATCTAGGAGGGCAGAGAGCAGGGAAATGTCCACAGGGAGGACCTGGGGTCTGTAAGGAGGTGGTCAGGGGAGGTGGGTGCCCAGGTGCTCTGGGTGTGAGCAGGGATCTGAGGGCACTGAGGGGCCAGCCTTGCAGACACCTGGGGAAATGTGTTCCCAAGAGAGGATGACAGGTATAGGGGTCTGAAGGAAAGGAGGTCATGCTGCTGGCCTTGACCCAGGGACACAAACTAACATCACATCCCAACCCTGAGGATGAAAACTCCTGCTGAGGACCTGGGCCCCATTTTTCCACTCAGTACGAAGGGCCCAGTATTGATGGATTTCTCTCATTTCCCTCCTAGTCTCACTGTTAACCTTTTGGAACCCGCACCCCACTGCCCAGCTCAGTATTAAACCAGTGCCTTTCGATGTTGCTGAAGGGAAAGACGTTCTTCTACTCCTCCACAATGTGTCGGAGAACACTGTAGGCTACTTCTGGTTCAGAGGGGAAATAACAACCCCAAACCTTCTCATTGTATCCTACTCGAATCTCACACACTCAGCTACCCAAGGTCCTGCATTCAGTGGTCGAGAGACAATATACCCCAATGGGTCCCTGCTGTTCATGAATGTGACAAAGGGGGACACAGGATTCTACACCCTGCAAACCACAACTCCCAATTTTCAAATTGAAACAGCAACTGGAGGGTTCCGCGTACATGGTGAGTGATGCCCCAGTCCTCTGGGTGTTGGAGGGGTTAAATCCACTGCACACACAGGACTCTGAGACCTGGGTCTGCCTACCTCCTCCTGTGCATTACGTCCCCACAGTGGAGTTGGAGCCTTTAGTGCAGGACACACGCAGTGCAGACAGACTTCAGAAGATCCTACTCCTCCACCTGAATGCACTGGCAGAGAGCAGGGTGGTCTGGTGGGAGACTCGGCCCAGGCAGAGCAGTCTCAGCCCAGCCCCTGTGTCCTTCCCAGGAGCATGGCCCTGAGAAAGACCCTGCAGGACTGAGTCAGGCCTGGCCTGAGGGCCCTGGAGTCCTCACAGAGAAGGTTAGTCCTAGGGTGTACCTGCTCCAGACCTCTGTCCCAGGCTCCTGGCTCCAGGTGACTCTGAGGACATGTGGCCAGGGTTGGAGTTTGGCTTCCTGCTGAGGGCCGCTGGGGAGCAATGATTTACTGGCTACCTGATCTGGTAGCTCCTGGAGGTGGTCACCAGCCAGGGCACAGTCTCAGGAGCCATATCTGGGCAAGGGCACCTGGGCATCTCCTCCTCCTGGGACTAGGTGTGGTGAGCACAGAGGGACAGGTGCCTCAGGCCAATCAGGTGCCCTGATGGACTTCCATGAGGCTCCACAGGAAGGTCCGTGTCCCCAAGGGGAGGAACAGAGGAAAGAGATGCTCCTGGAGCTCCTGGTCCTCCCGGGACCAGCCCAGGGCGCTCTCACTGGGAGGCAGATCAGAGTAGGGGCTTTTTCTTTGGGGGCAGCTCCTCTAAACCAAGGTCAGGTTACTGTGAGGATTTCAAGGTTAATTTATAGACAACATGGTGAACCAGACACCACTTCCCATGTACCCAATAAAGGGAAACTGAGGCACGGGGAACACAGACCATGGGTGGCAGGTCAGTGGTGCATGTGACTGTGTAGCCAGAGCCCCGTGCTCTACATGCTGAGGGCCTATTAGGCGTCTGTGGACCAGAGACCAGTCATTGGCTCAGGGCACTGAAAGCTGGAGGGGACAGTCTGGTCTGGGAGTGAGAGCAAATGGAGGATAATAAATTTTTACCCTGAAACCAAATTACCTGCCTCAACAGAATGTCCAGGCCTCCCCCTCCCACAGCTGGTCCACACTCTCCCTCACTGAACTTGAAGTCTCCTGTTTCCTGGTGTGTTGGGTGTCACTCCCTCTGTGGCATAAGGTGTTTCTTTCTTTCTGTTCTGGGGAGAGTGGGGGAATGGGGGTACCAGGGATTGAACTCAGGGGCACTCGACCACTGAGCCACATCCCAGCCCTGTTTTGTATTTTATTTAGAGATAGGATATCACTGAGTTGCTTTAGCCTGACCATTGCTGAGGCTGGCTTTGAACTCATGATCCTCCTGTCTCAGCCTCCTGAGCCACTGGGATTACTGGTGTGCACCACCAGCCCAGCCCTCGGGAGCGTAAGGAACAGGACTTTCCTTTCTCTCTCCCCACTGGACCCTGCAGCCAGCACAGGGCCCAGTGTGTGGCCAACTCTCAATGGTTTTGTGATAAGGGGGGGGAGGGATCATGAATGAATGACCCTGAACCCCTTCAGAGCCTGGAACCTGCATGTGCAATCCCAGGGGGTTCTGCCACCTGCTCCCTGTCCCTCCTGGAGGCTGGGGCTCTTGCTCCATCCCATCAACCACCTCTCCTGAGGCCACTCACGAGCCACATCACAGGATGCCCTTGGGTGGCCGGGCTGTGGAGGGTCTTCAGGGTGGCCCTGGGTCAGTTCTGAGGTGGCCATGAGGCTCTTAGACCTGGGGCTTTAAGTCACTGTACCCCACTGCTCCCTGCCATGGCGATTCTGGCTGTCTTGCTCCTGCCTGTCTGTCCTCTCCCTCCTTCTCATTCAGGCAGGTCTGGCCCTGCCCTGCACAATGAGCCATGCCCTTCCCTCCTGCACTAATGGCCATCTGTTCTGTCCACTTCCTGCTAACACCTGGGGCCAGACCCCCTCCAGGCCATAGTAAAGGGCACAGAAACAGTCGAGGCAGGTGCCCCTGTCAGGCTGCATTAGGGGCAATATCCCCGACTATGAAGGAGTCTCCACTGTGTCCCTTCCAGGGCTCTTTCCTTCCATGACAATGACATGTGAAATAGGCCAGGACACAGGCCTGAGCATCTCCTCCATCTACTCTCTGCACTGACTCAGCGAGGGGGACACAGCAGAAAGGGCGGCAAGCCCCTAGGTCCCAGGCTCCTTACACCCAGATGACTGGGGGCTCCATCCTGGTCCCTAAGTGGGGCTCATGTTCCTCCAGTGACTCCCAGGACCTTCCCCAAGGGGGAGCTGGACTGAACAGTGCTGTCTCAGGGGCTAACTGTCTATTCCATATGTGCCTGTGTCCTCAGGAGGACACCTTCACCACAAGGGAGGTCTGTCCCCACATGGTGTGATGCTCCATCCACGGTCATTTGCATTAGGCTCTAGGCACTGATATGGAACAATTGATGATCTCATTGCACTTCCTGGGGAGAAAAGAAAAGGAAGAAGGCATTCCACAGGCCTGTGTCAGGTTCTTCCCCACTTTCCCTGAGTCTCCATAGCAATTGGGAACATAGACTTCTAGATTGATTAACATGATCAATAATACTTCTCTGAGTTTGGTGTTGTGCCTCATTTTACATAACAGAGACCCTCAGATGTCCCCTCGGACCAGTTCAGTCCTCCACCAGGACCCACAGGTGTCTCCTTATTCAGGAGTTTCCTGGTTTCAAACTGACTTTAGCATCTGCCTTGGGTCATAATGTGACCCCTCAGGACTTCAGAGCTCAGTCTAAGACATTGTGCTCCTTAGAGAAATATTTCTTTCAGAAACGAGTCTTAGATCCTGGGTATTAAAAACTATTTTCCCATATGGGAAAACTTTACCATCCCCCATTTCTACCAGAGGGCTGCCACACACAAGCCCACGAGGGCCCTATTTTCAGCAAGGTCCTGGTCCCCTCTTCCACCTCTTAGTGCTAATGTGTTTGGAACCATCCACTGGTCTCTCAGGACCATTCCACATGCCTCACCTGCTCTCTGCAGGGGGAGAAGGGATGTAAAGTCCAAGGACAGGAACATGATTCTGCTCTAAACCTTGTCTGTCCCCCTCACCCTAGAGCATTCTTTGGACTCATGCTTTGCCTTTCAGGTGTCACTGGCTCCTGTCAGTCACCAGGAAACACCTGAGCAGAACTGCCCCCTTGTGGCCCCAGCCTGACCACCCAACTGAATGCCCCCTGGTCTCCTAGTGTGCCAACCTTGCCCCCAGTATCCTGGTTTCTGTTCACACACCCCATTCTCACATCAGGCTGTGGGGTCTCCTTGGGGTTTAGGCACAATGGGGTGTCCCATCATGACCCACCTCTAGGATGGCCTTGAGAATCAAAGGCTCAGAGGACACACACGTGGGCCGAGCCCTGGAGTCTGTGCAGATGGAGGGACTCTGCATCTCAAGGCCAGCCAGGGCCAGTGAGGACCAGGAGAGACACGGGGTTGCTAACTCCCAGTCCTGGGTCTTTCCAGGACCAAACTCTGCAATTAAGTGCACCTGTGAGAAACTGTGCTTCTCCCAGACACAGCCCAGGGGGCCCCACGTCTTCTGATCCCTCAGATCCTCCTACATCTGCCCAGGATACCCACTCTGCCTGGTTCTTCAGGACTCAGGTTGGTGGGAGGTGAGAGGCCAGCCCAAGTAGAAAGACAACTTTGTGCAGATCACAGGGCAATCCTCTGTTTGTTGTCTGCACAGAGAAATTACCCAAACCCAACATCACAATCAACAACTCCCAACCCATGGAGGGTGAGGACTCTCTAGCATTAACGTGTGAACCTGAGATTAATTATGCAACCTACCTGTGGAAGATAAACAATCAGACAATCCTAGATGGTGACAGGCTGAAGCTGTCCAACAACAACAGGACTCTCACTTTATTCAATGTCACAAGGAATGACACAGGACCCTATGAGTGTGAAACCCAGAACCCAGTGAGTGCCAACCACAGTGACCTACTCACCCTGAATATTTCCTGTGAGTAACTTCTATTCCTCCATTACCCTGGCTGTGAACTCAAATACACAGGGCCAGAGGCTGGGCCACTTAGTCCCTCTTGGGTCCAAGTACACAGACACTCTCTCCTGGGCACCTGGATGGGCTGTGCCATTTGCCCCAGGCATATCCAGGCAGGCCCAGCCTTGGGCCATGAATAGGAGGGGAGGGCTTGTGGTTCCCTGGGGAGGCCTGGGGTCAGCCACCTGGAACTGAGAAGCAGGGGAATGTCACAGATTAATTTCAGTGAACCAAGGGGGTTTGGTTGAGACTTTCTGTGAGTGTGTATGGTGCTGGGATTTGAACCCAGGGCCTCATGCATGCTGGGCAGGTGCTGTACCACTGTACTCTCCAGCCTAGTTGTGACTTAAAAAAAAAAAAAGAAACAAGGTCGTGACATGGATCAGTAGTTATATTGTGGTCTTCTACAGTCTAGGAACTTCCCTTTCCCTCTGATGACATTATATGTGGCTTTATTCTGTTTGCTCCAGATGGCCCTGATGCCCCCATCATAAACCCCCCAGACTCACATTTCCGTCTAGGGACAAATCTCAACCTCTCCTGCCACGCAGACTCTAACCCGCCTGCTCAGTACTCTTGGTCTTTCAATGGGAGGCCCCTGGAATCCACACAACAGCTCTCAGTCCCCAACCTCTCTACAAATAAGAGTGGATTCTATGTGTGTGTCGCCCATAACTCTGTCACTAACCTCAATAGGACCACAACCAAGAATATTACCGTCTCTGGTAAGTGGACCCTGGAGCACAGTATCAAGTACTGGGTGGAGTTTTGATTTTCTGGAAACAATATGGAAGAAGTTACTTCCTAGCCTGAGGCCCACTCTCAGTCAGCCCCTTGCTGTTTTTCCACAGGGCTTGTGGCCCAGCCCTCCCTCAGAGCCACCAACACAGAACCACACTCTGTGGCCATGACCTGCCTCTCAGATGACCCTGGAATCTCCATCACGTGGATCCTCAATAGCCAGACTCTGCAGCTCACAGACAGGATGCAGCTGTCCCCGGACCACAGGACCCTCAGCATAGACCCCGTCAGACAGGAGGATGCCGGGGAGTATCAGTGTGAGGCCTCCAACCCCGCCAGTTCCTCCAGGAGTGACCGCTACAGACTGGCTGTGATCTGTGAGTGGCCCCCGTGCCACCAGTGCTTCCGTCATAGATTTCACTGTCAAGGGCCATCATATGGCACCAGCCATGAGCATGGGGTAGAGGCCAGAGCTTGGAGAGAATGTGGTTGACTACCCGGAAATTAGGTGCCTTGATGTCACCTTGGTTCTGATCTGTACCCGAGGCTGGGCCTGGGCTAGACAGTCTGTGAGGGCTGCCCACTGACACTGTCCTGTGATGGGAAGGAAGAAAAGAGGAAGAGGGGGGTGGGGTGGGGCTCAGTGGTAGAGCACTTGCCCGGCCTGTGTGAGAACCTGGGTTCAATTCTCAGCATCAAACACACAAATGAATAAAATAAAGGTCCTTCAACATCTAAAAAATATAATAAAATAAAAGAGAAGAGGAAGAGACCTTAACAGGAGCATGAGCAGGATGTGGCCCAGCTGCATGTGGAGAGGGTCAGGCTAGAGCACATGCAGGTTTCAAAACCAAACGTGAAGAAATCGCCAGAAGCAGAGAGTCAGGAGGACATGGTGACGACATGACAAACTGCACTGGGACCTTGGTGCCATTTCCTTCCACCCTCTGTGGGCCCCTGCAGGGCCCAGCTGGTTCCCCTGAAGACCTGCCCTTCAGCCCCTTTCTCTTCTCTTTCAGCAGAAGAGAGGACCCCAGGCCTCCCTGTGGGGACCGTCGCTGGCATCGTGACTGGGGTCCTGGTCGGGGTGGCTCTGGTGGCTGCTCTGGGGTGTTTCCTGCTCCACACAAGAAATGGAAGGTACCCAGGCTTCCCCCACCTGATCCCACCCCAGGTGACCCCAGGCCTGAGGGAAGGAGACCCATCCTCAGACTCTGGCCTGACTCCGACCTCCCCACTTCCCGGGGACCCTCCCCTCTCACCCCAGCCACCCCCGTCCCTCACCAGCTGCTGGCCCTGGGCTGATTGCTCAAGAGCTGACTCCTCTGCACATTGGTCACCAGGACCTGTCCCCACAGCACTGGTGTCCCTCCCTAGACTAGGGTTCAAAACGGCACCTCCTGCAGTATTTGCGCCCACACCAAGAGAGGGCTGAAGCTATGTGTATGAGGGGTCCTGTCCCAGGTCACTCAGGGCAAGGGCTGGGGCCTGGAGAGGAAGGTGGGTCTACTCTCCACACCTCCTGTGTGACCCAAGGCCCCTGATGTGTGAGGTGGGATCCCAGGGCCCAGCCAGTCGTGTGTCCTGGAAAGTTCTCTGTCTCCTGGTCAGGTGGGTGGAGAGCACAAAATGCCACTGTCACATTACCTCATCTCCTGGCCTGAGCAGAGGGTCCTCCACAGCAGGATCACCAATGGGGTCAGGGATTTTCAAGATGCATGTGGTTCCCAAACGTCTTGCCGACTTGGTGACCCTGCTTCCCTGTCCCCACCCCCATGGCATGCATCCTCCACTCAGTCAAAGTCTCCTGCTTTAATTCCTTCCTCAATTTCAGTCCATTTTCTGGGTCCTTCAGCCAACATTCTCCTGGGTCTGCACCTGGGAGGGTCGATCACCTTGGCCCAGGGCAGCAGTGTCTTCTTAAGGCCTTTCCTCCCCTCCCCTCTCCTGGGCCCCCTGGTACACAGACCTGATGGGGAGAGGAAGGTTTCACACTGTCCTTGGAAATGGGGTACCCTCCTCATCCCCTATCTTGCCCCAGTCCATGACCCTCACGAATAAGGCTGACTTTTCCTAGGGCCAGCGTCCAGCTTGGCCTCAGAGACCACCGCACCCCAGCATCAAGACCCGGTAAGTGTCCCCTCAGCCTGAGGGTGACTGGGAGCCCATAGGCCTGCCCCACAGTGTCCACTCTTGCCCACAACCACACGTCCAGGGTTGAATGTTTACACTGGGGATTCAAGGACCCCTGTCATCAAACACAACAGGGGACCCACCTGGCCAAGCCAGCCCAGACTTGTGGCATCTGGTCTCCTCCTCATGTTCCTTGGTTCTTTGGACCACTACAAGGGCAAAAGGGTCTCTCCCAGGACATGCTGCCTCCCCTGACACTCTGATAGTTGAGGTCCCCCAGCCCTACCTGCAGAAGGGGCCCAGCCCTCTTCACACTACTGCTAACTCTTGTCTCTGTCCCCAGGCCAAGGTCCCTCTGACACTTCCACCTCCCTGGTAAGTCCCCCCAGCTATCTCTACACAGGGGACTAGCTCTGCAGTCTCAGGGCAGGGGCACTGTCAACCCCCACACAGCACAGACACCCCCACTCATGTTGGACCAGGAAAGGTTAGCCTGGCCCTGGCCAGAGACTTGGCCACTCTCAGGGACAGGACCACCATCGCTCTGTCTTCAGCCCACCCTACTTCCTGCCATCTAGGGGAGTCCTGGTGCAGAATGGGTGCTGGGAGCTTCTATCAGTGGCCCTGGGTTAATGATGGGGACCATAGTCTGGACAGAAACTGGGGTGTGTGTCCTGAAGTGGAGGCTGGTGCTCAGGACCCAGAGCTGGTAACTCCTGAGAAGAAAGGGCTAAAGCAGACACAGAGAGTAAGCTCTGGCCCGTCAGAGACCAGAACCTTCCAGGCACCACCCAGCACCTGCTCACTGGAGTCTCAGCCTTGAGGATCCTCCCTTTGCTGACCCTGATTTCCAATCTCCCTCCCTGCCAGGCCCCACCCCCTGGCCACAGAGCTGCTGTCCCCATCTACCAGGTGAGTGTGGGTGATGACCCTTGCCCACAGTCCAGGGCATACCCAAGAGATGCCCCTCCCCACACCTTCCTGATCTTGCCAGGAAACAGCAGCCAAAATGGGATCTGGGGGTGGTGATTGGGGGGCAGCCTGGGAACAGGAGCCTCTGAGCCCAGACAGACACAGGGACAGAGCAGTCCCAGGTGGGCCAGGGCCTAGAAGTTCATGGTCCCCTGGTTCAGAAGGGTCAGAGCCTCTTTGTTCTTTTTCAGGAATTACTAAACCCTGACCTGGACATCTACTGCCGGGTCGACCACAAGGCTGATGTGGATTCTTAGTTTCCACCACACGATGCTCCATGTGGGCTGAGGGAGGGTCCTGCTAAACCCCAGATGCTGGGTAATGGGACAGAGGTGGAGCCTGACCCTATAGGACTCTGGAGCCTACTGGGGGAGGGGTCCCTGGGGATTCTAGAGACACAGGCTGCCCTGGCCTTTCAATGGCCAGAACTAGGCTTCCTGTGCCCAGGAACATGGCATTCCAGGGAGAGGGAAGGGCCAGTACTGGTCACCTGGAAAGGCGCTGAATAAAGACCCCCTTCCCTCCTTTGCTCTTTTGGTTCATGTGGGAACGTCTCTTGGCAGACACTCCCCTCAAGTTCCAGGTCAGCTCTCTCCTGTGTCATGCAGGGGAATCGTGGTCTCTAAGTTGCTCCCACAGGGTTTCTCTTCCTGGGAGACAGGAGCTGGGAGGTGGGAGCCAGGGCAAAGGTCAGGTCTGTCCACAGGGAAGGGTGAGGGTCCCAAGGCCCTGCAGCCAGCAGAGCACTAAGCGGCCCTCACGCTCCAGGGACCCAGGGTGGCTATCTCTGGCCAAGATTTCTTCTCCACCCAAAGGCCAGTACTCAGCACATCTTCACCTCTGCTGGGACATGGACATTGACTATCAGAGTAATCAGGGGACAGGGCCAGACCCAGACTCAGCCCTGAACAAGGGCCTCAGGCCCTGCCCGAGGCTCCAGCCCTGCCCTCCCATCACCTTCCACTCTGCCCTGCCTGGTCTCTCTGGGACCAGCCTCCTCTGCACACTCCAGCATCCAGGGCAGAGGCTCAGGGCTCCCCACATGGGGCTCTCTAGGCTCCATGGTGATGGGACAGAGGGTCTCCTCCCTGACCAGGATGTGCTCTACAGCCTCCTCAATACACCTGGCCACTGCTCTGACTCCTTCCCTGAAGGCTGGGCAGGGGACATTCTCATGTAGGTTCATGATGTAGATCAGGCCACTACATTCCTGGAAATTAGAGGTAAATTTAGTAAAGATTAGGGGACACTCTGCTGATGCCTGAGAGTTGTCTGTCCTGACATGAGAAGTAGGAAGTCATCCTCAGAGATTCCACTGTGACTCAGCTCTAGTGAGGCTCGTCCTGCATGAACATAGCATCAGGTCACACACGATGACTTCTCTTTTCTTGGTTTCGTGGTGCAGCTGCCACAGACTGGCTCCCACACAGTGGCTCTGAACAGCAGATACCAAGGTGTCCTGAACTGCATTCTTCTGGAGGCTTTTCTGGGTGTGCGCAGGAACACAAGTCCCCTGAAAAACTTAAAAGCATCTTAAAAGCTCATGGAATCTTTTCCCCCAGGTCCTGTCCTGGGAACCACACCAGCTGGAGCTCCCCCTGAGCACCGCATCCTGCTCCCTGAGCCACACACAAGCCCCTGGGAAACTGTGTCAAGCCAAGCCCTCCAGGAAGTGTCATGTCAGGTCCCACTCACCCCCCCAGGTTGCCCAGTGGAAGAGTCACCTGTGTACTCAGGGGAGTCTCCCTGACGTGGATGGGGTGGATTCTTCTTCACCTTCTGCATCTGAGCATCCCCAGGGTCCTCTGTACCCTGTCCCTGTGCCCAGTGTTTCTCCCTGGACACAGCCTCAGACCCTGACAGGGGCAGATGAGGGGCTGACTCTCCAGCAGTCCTTCCCATTTTCCCCAGGTCAACCTGCTCAGCCCCTGAGACCCTCCCCTCTACAGGAGCCATGTGCTCTGAGCTCCTGAACACCTGCCCCCACATCATGCCAGCTTCAGGTCAGTGACAACCACCAGCTCTGACATTTGCCCCCAAGGCAGGTGTCTGAGCAGACTCACCAGGTGGGACACCTGAGGCTTTAGCATGCAGGAGCACCCTAGTCCCTCTCCTCCCTCCCAGAGGGCAGCAGGCCCCACAGGGTGTCTGTGAAATCAGCCCTGGGTCCAAAACACAGCTTCGGGTCCCTCCTGATCCTCTACAGAGAAAGGCGCTGGGGCAGTAGCAGCCACTAGGAAATTTGACTGTCAAGGAAACACTTGGTCCCATCCCTCCTCATACCTGTGAAAGGAACAGACACATACAATACAGCTGGCCTCACCATATGACCCAGAGGTCATTCCCAGGCCAGCTGCAGCCAGAATAGCAATCTACTTGCTGCTCTCTCCCTGTGACAGCAGGTGCTGCTTTTGCATGGTGGCTGGGGTCCCCTCCACCCCCTGAGGGAACCCAAATCTGCCTGTGTCCCGCCTCAGCCACACTCCTCAGCTTCCTGCTCCCCTCCACCTTCCCTGACCTGCACAGAGAGGGGACAGACCTCCTAGACCCCTCCCTGCTCACTGCCAGCCTTGGTGCTCATTACGGGGTCTGTAGGAGTCACCTCTGCTCAGGTTGGACATTTGTGGGACCAGCCAGACAGGAAAAGCCTCCCACATGCCTTCGACTCTCAGGGAAAATAAACAGAAAACAACTTCAACCAAGTCAGAAACCAAGAGCGTCCCATGGGTTCCTAACAGTGCACCATCCTGGTTGTGATCTTCTTCAAGAGACACCTCCATGTCCTTCTTTTGAAACCTTAGGACAGTTGGCTTCTCCTGAGGCTGCCCATCCTTGTTTGCAAAGTTCTCCCGACTCTGAGCAGGAGTCCTCAGGAGAACCCCTGTCATCTCCCTAGACTCACTCTGCACTGGGTGTCAGGCACCCTGGGACCCAAGGTGAACAGGACCTCTCCTATAGCCTGTAGGTCAGAGCCACCTGTGCCCAGTGTCAGGGCCAACTGTCACCATTTGGACCCGAGGCAGCATCCCTGCTACAGTCCCTGACTATGGCCATGGGTCTCCTCATGACCTTCAGGGGCAACAATGGGCCTCAACAGAGGAATACATAAAAAACATGGATTACAAATATGTTGGATTATTAATTAGCCATGAAAAATAAAGTTCTGGTGAACATTACAACCTGAGTAACCCAGAAAACACGATTAAACAAGAAGCAAAATAGTATGTGGTTGTATAATTTCATTTATATGAAATATCTGGAATAGGCAAATTCATAGAGACGGGAAATAGAATCAAGGTTACCCAAGGTTAGAGAGTCCTGAGATGTGATAACTTAATGGTCAGAGTTTTAGTGCAGGTAATGAAAAAATTCTGGAAATAGTAGTCACTGTATATTCGAATGGACTCATGGCATGTATTTCTACAGTTAAAAGGGTTAATAGAGCACATTTTTGTAATAAGTATTACACTATGAAAAGTTTTTAGGAAAGATGTGTGAAATACACCCACTGTGCTTAGTGTGTGTCTGTGTGTGTGAGAGAGAGAGAGAGAGAGAGAGAGACAGACAGACAGACAGACAGAAAGGTGAAAGGGACTAGGGATTGTCCCCAGGAGCATTCTAAAACTGAACTACATTGCATTTTTTATTTTGAGACAAAGTCAAACTAATTTGCATGGTCTGGCCTCAAACTAGCAATCCTCCTGCCTCAGCCTCCTGAACAGCTGGGATGAGAGGCTGTGTCATGTATCTGGCCAGATCATCTCCATAATACTCACACGACACCAGCCAACTGCAGACATACCTCATAAAGCCAGTGCTTGCCCCCTAAAGCCTCAGGAGACACCTCCCCATGTCCTTCCTTTGAACCCTCAGGCACAGATGGCCCCTCCTGAGGCTGCCCAGTCCTCCCTACTCTGGAGCAGGAGTCCCCAGGACAGCTCCCGTCCTCTCCCTAGACTCACCCTGCCCTAGACAGAGTCAGGTATCCTGGGGACACTCAGTAAATTGGACCCACTCTGCAGCCAGTAGGTCAGGGCCACCTGTGCCCAGGGACAGGATCAGCTCTCACTATTTGGCCCCTGGGCCGCATCCCTGCTACAGTCCCTGACACTGGCCACAGTTCTCCTTATGACCACCAGGGGGCGACATGAGACTCACAGTCAACACTTGGCTGATTGATTCTGAAACTTGGACCAGGCAAACTCAGGAGGTGGAAATGTGGCCTGATTTCCATCCCCAATAGACCAGGGTGCCTTCCACAAACCTGCTCGGCTCCTACCCCCACTCCTTCCTGGGCCTGTGAGGACCTTGCACTGCCAGTGGTCTCTAAGCAGGCCTTTGCCTCTAGTATCACCCATGGAAAAAGTCAGGGTGACCACAGAGGAATCACTAGGTAGAGGACACAGGCCACCCAAGGAAGGCATGGGCAGTCCTGAGACACAGCTCCACCAAAAACTGGAGAGAGAGGGTCTCCCTAAAAATCTCTCCCTGAGGACCAGGGAACCCATGGTCACCTACCTCCACTACCATGGCCCTTCCCACTCAGGACACAAAGTGTGTGAAGTCCTGAGATAGCTGCTCAGAGGCCAAGCTGGAGACACCAGGACAGAGAGCAGGTCCCCTCACCAGCCATCACTCAGAGGGCCCCTTTTTAGATCCCAGATCTCTCTCTCTGTCCCCTTCCTGCTGGGGGGAAAGCCACCTTCCTAGAGCATTTGAGAACATGGGGAAGACACAGGGCTAAACTGGGGTTCTCTGTCATAAAGGAAATATGCCCAGGGTGAGGGGACCCCAGGGGCTCCCTGTGTGGTGCTGAGAGCCCTGAGGCCAGGACACAGCTGAGGCCAGTGCTGGGTGAGCCACTTCTCTCAGGGGACAGCGTCCCCACCTGCCTTGCTCCTCAGGGTGTGGCATGCAGTAGTGAAACCCAACAGGGAAAGCAGAAGGGACAGGAGGCAGGACTGAGAGGGAGGGGACAGAGAGGTTCCTCCACAGAGACCCCGCCCCCAGCCCTGTGACCCAGGAAAGTGCTCCTGCCCTGGGAGGAGGCTGAGCTCAGAGAGGAGCAGGCAGCAGGGCTGAGTGGCCTGGACTTGGGCTTCCCAGCGGGTCTCAGTGAAGCTCCTTCCACAGAGGGGACAGAGCAGCAGGGACCATGCAGCCCCCCTCAGCCTGTCCCTGCAGAGGGGGCATCCCCTGGCAGGGGGTCCTGCTGGCAGGTAAGAGGGACAGTTCCCAGAGGAGGGCGGGAGCTGGGAGCACAGTCTTACTGCTGCCCCTGGGAGGACACGACCCTCACAGGGGACACAGGGCTTCACTATGTCACATTGGGAACTTATTGGGAACAGAACACAGAAGACAGAAGCTCACCAAGAGGAACAGATGACGCGGGTCAGAAAGCTCAGGGGTGCTCTTTCCCAAGTGAATCACCAGGGGCCATTATATTTTGAAAATCGTTGTTAACAGCTCTGTCAGGGCCACCCTCCAAATAGAAAGGCAACTTGAGCAGTGGACACTGTCTGTAGCCACCAGCCTCAGACATTGGCTCACAGACACCTGGACCCTCAGGGTGGGGACACAGCTTCACTCATCCACAGGAGGCTGAGCCTGGTCCAGGCCCTGGGCCACAACAAGGGTCAGACTAGTCTCTGCCTCCTGGAGCTTCCTCTCTAGAGGGCAGGAAGCCAGGCCAGAGGGAGATCTGCAGGTGAAGCCAGGTGCTGTGTAGATCTAGGAGGGCAGAGAGCAGGGAAATGTCCACAGGGAGGACCTGGGGTCTGTAAGCAGGTGGTCAGAGGAGGCGGGTGCCCAGGTGCCCTGGGTGTGAGCAGGGATCTGAGGGCATTGAGGGGACAGCCTTGCAGACACCTGGGGAAATGTGTTCCCAAGAGAGGATGACAGGTACAGGGGTCCTGAAGGAATGGAGGTCATGCTGCTGGCATTGACCCAGGGACACACGCACACACCACACACCCCAAGGCTGAGGAGTGAGGATTCCTGCTGAGGACCTGGGTCCCAACTTTCCACCCAGTACAAGGTCCCAGTATTAGTGGATTTCTCTCTCTTCTCTCCCAGTCTCACTGTTAACCTTCTGGAACCCGCACCCCACTGCCCAGATCACTATTCAACCAGTGCCTGCCGATGTTGCTGAAGGGAGAGACGTTCTTCTACTTGTCCACAATGTGTCGAAGAACACTGCAGGCTACCAGTGGTACAGAGGGCAAATACCAGACCGAAGCCGTCTCACTGTATCCTATTCAAATCTCACACACTCAGCTACCCAAGGCCCTGCATTCAGTGGTCGTGAGACAATATACCCAAATGGGTCCCTGCTGTTCGTGAAAGTGACAAAGGGGGACACAGGATTCTACACCCTACAAGTCACAACTGCCGATTTTGATAGTGAAGCAGCAACTGGAGAGTTCCGTGTACATGGTGAGTGATGCCCCAGCCCTCTGGGTGTTGGAGGGGTCAACTCCACTGCACACACAGGACCCTGAGACCTGGGTCTGCCTACCTCCTCCTGTGCATAACGTCCCCACAATGGAGTAGGAGCATTTAGTGCAGGACACACGCCAGTGCAAACAGACTTCAGAAGAACCAAGTCCTCTGCCAGAATCCAGTGGCAGAGAGCAGGGTGGTCTGGTGGGAGACTCGGCCCAAGCAGAGCAGTCTCAGCCCAGCCCCTGTGTCCTTCCCAGGAGCATGGCCCTGAGAAAGACCCTGCAGGACTGAGTCAGGCCTGGCCTGAGGGCCCTGGAGTCCTCACAGAGAAGGTTAGTCCTAGGGTGTACCTGCTCCAGACCTCTGTCCCAGGCTCCTGGCTCCAGCTGACCCTGAGGACATGGGGCCAGGGTTGGAGTTTGGCTTCCTGTTGAGGGCTGCTGGGGAGCAATGATTTACTGGCTACCTGATCTGGTAGCTCCTGGAAGTGGTCACCAGCCAGGGCACAGTCCTAGGAGACACATCTGGGCAAGGGCACCTGGGCATCTCCTTCTCCTGGGACTAGGTGTGGTGAGCACAGAGGGACAGGTGCCTCAGGCCAAGTCAGGTGCCCTGACGGACTTCTATGAGGCTCCACAGGAAGGTCCATGTCCCCAAGGGGAGGAACAGAGGAAAGAGATGCTCCTGGAGCTCCTGGTCCTCCCGGGACCAGCCCAGGGCGCTCTCACTGGGAGGCAGATCAGAGTAGGGGCTTTTTCTTTGGGGGCAGCTCCTCTAAACCAAGGTCAGGTTACTGTGAGTATTTCAAGGTTAACTTAGAGACAACATGGTGAACCAGACACCACTTCCCATGTACCCAATAAAGGGAAACTGAGGCACGGGGAACACAGTTGCTGAATCATATCACATAGATCATGGGTGGCAGGTCAGTGGTGCATGTCAGTCTGCAGCCTGAGCCCCGTGCTCTGCCTGCTGAGGGCCTATTAGGCATCTGTGGACCAGAGACCAGCCATTGGCTCAGGGCATTGGCAGCCTGGAGAGGGCAGTCTGCTCTGGGAGTGAGAGCAAATGGAGGATAATCAACTTTTACTCTGGAACCAAATTACCTGCCTCAACAGAATGTCCAGGCCTCCCCTCCCACAGCTGGTCCACGCCCTCCGTCACTGAACTTGAAGTCTCCTGTTTCCTGGTGTGTTGGGTGTCACTCCCTCTGTAGCATAAGGTGCTTCTTTTTTTCTTTTCTGGGGAGAGTGGGGGAATGGGGGTACCAGGGATTGAACTCAGGGGCACTCGACCACTGAGCCACATCCCAGCCCTGTTTTGTATTTTATTTAGAGACAAGTTCTCACTGAGCTGCTTTAGCCTGACCATTGCTGAGGCTGGCTTTGAACTCATGATCCTCCTGTCTCAGCCTCCTGAGCCACTGGGATTACAGGTGTGCGCCACCAGCCCAGCCCTCTGGAGCGTAAGGAACAGGACTTTCCTTTCTCTCTCCCCACTGGACCCTGCAGCCAGCACAGGGCCCAGTGTGGCCAACTCTCAATGGTTTTGTGATAAGGGGGGGAGGGATCATGAATGAATGACCCTGAACCCCTTCAGAGCCTGGACCCTGCATGTGCAATCCCAGGGGGTTCTGCCACCTGCTCCCTGTCCCTCCTGGAGGCTGAGGCTCTTGCTCCATCCCATCAACCACCTCTCCTGAGGCCACCCAGGAGCCACATCACAGGATGCCCTTGGGGTGGCCGGGCTGTGGAGGGTCTTCAGGGTGGCCCTGGGTCAGTTCTGAGGCAGCCATGAGGCTCTTGGACCTGGGGCTTTAAGTCACTGTACCCCACTGCTCCCTGCCATGGCGATTCTGGCTGTCTTGCTCCTGCCTGTCCGTCCTCTCCCTCCTTCTCATTCAGGCAGGACTGGCCCTGCCCTGCACAATGAGCCATGCCCTTCCCTCCTGCACTAATGGCCATCTGTCCTGTCCGCTTCCTGCCAACTCCTGGGACCAGGCCCCCTCCTGGGCAGGAGTCAAGGGCACAGAAACAGTCGAGGCAGGTGCCCCTGTCAGGCTGCATCAGGGACAATGTCCCCGACTGTGAAGGAGCCTCCACTGTGTCCCTTACAGTGCTCTTTCCTTCCATGACAATGACATGTGAAATAGGCCAGGACACAGGCCTGAGCATCTCCTCCATCCACTCTCTGCACTGACTCAGCGAGGGGGGCAGAGGACAGGGCTGCAAGCCCCTAGGTCCCAGGCACCTTACACCCAGATGACTGGTGGCTCCATCCTGGTCCCTAAGTGGGGCTCACGCTCCTCCAGTGACTCCCAGGACCTTCCCCAAGGGGGAGCTGGACTGAACGGTGCTGTCTCAGGGACTAACTGTCTATTCCATATGTGCCTGTGTCCTCAGGAGGACACCATCACCACAAGGGAGGTCTGTCCCCACATGGTGTGATGCTCCAGCCAAGGTCATTTACATTAGGCTCTAGGCTCCGATATGGAACAATTTGATGATCTCATTTGGATTCCTGGGGTGAAAAGAAAAGGAAGAAGGCATTCCACAGGCCTGTGTCAGGTGCTTCCCCACTTTCCCTGAGTCTCCATAGCAATTGGGAACATAGACTTCTAGATTGATTAACATGATCAATAATGTTTCTCTGAATTTGGTGTTGTGCCTCATTTTACATAACAGAGACCCTCAGATGTCCCCTCTGACCAGTTCAGTCCTCCACCAGGACGCACAGGTCTCTCCTTACTCAGGAGGTTCCTGGTTTCAAACTGACTTTAGCATCTACTTTGGGTCATAATGTGACCCCCACAGGACTTCAGATCTCAGTCTAAGACACTGTGCTCCTTAGAGAAATATTTCTTTCAGAAAGGAGTCTTAGATCCTAGGTATTAAAAACTATTTTCCCATATGGGAAAACTTTAACATCCCCATTTCTACCCCAGGTCTGCCACACACAAGCCCACGAGGGCCATATTTTCAGCAAGGTCCTGGTCCCCTCTTCCACCTCTTAGTGCTAATGTGTTTGGAACCATCCACTGGTCTCTCAGGACCATTCCACATGCCTCACCTGCTCTCTGCAGGGGGAGAAGGATGTAAAGACCAAGGACAGGAACATGATTCTGCTCTAAATCTTGTCTTTCCCCCTCTCCCTAGAGCATTCTTTGGACTCATGCTTTGCCTTTCAGGTGTCACTGGCTCCTGTCAGTCACCAGGAAACACCTGAGCAGAACTGTCCCCCTTGTGGCCCCAGGATGACCACCAAACTGAATGCCAACCTTGCCCCCAGTATCCTGGTTTCTGTTCACACACCCCATTCTCACATCAGGCTGTGGGGTTTTCTTGAGGTTTAGGCACAATGGGGTGTCCCACCATGACCCACCTCTAGGATGGCCTTGAGAACCAAAGGTTCAGAGGACACACACGTGGGCCGAGCCCTGAAGTCCATGCAGTTGAAGGGACTCTGCGTCTCAAGGCCAGCCAGGGCCAGCGAGGACCAGGAGAGACACGGGGTTGCTAACTCCCAGTCCTGGGTCTGTCCAGGACCAAACTCTGCAATTTAGAGCACCTGTGAGAAACTCTGTGCTTCTCCCAGACACAGCCCAGGGGGCCTCACCTCCTCTGATCCCTCAGATTCTCCTGCATGTGCCCAGAATACCCACTCTGTCTGGTTCTTCAGGACTCAGGTTGGTGGGAGGTGAGAGACCAGCCCAAGTGGAAAGACACTTTTGCGGGGATCACGGGGCAATCCTCTCTTTGTTGTCTGCACAGAGAAATCACCCAAACCCAACATCACAATCAACAACTCCCAACCCATGGAGGGTGAGGACTCTCTAGCATTAACGTGTGAACCTGAGATTAATTATGGGAGCTACCTGTGGAAGATAAACAATCAGAGGATCCCAGATGGTGACAGTTTGAAGCTGTCCAACAACAACAGGACTCTCACTTTATTCAATGTCACAAGGAATGACACAGGACCCTATGAGTGTGAAACCCAGAACCCAGTGAGTGCCAGCCACAGTGACCCACTCACCCTGAATATTTCCTGTGAGTAACTTCTATTCCTCCATTACCCTGGCTGTGAACTCAAATACACAGGGCCAGAGGCTGGGCCACTTAGTTCCTCTCGGGTCCAAGTACACAGACCCTCTCTCCTGGGCACCTGGATGGGCTGTGCCATTTACCCCAGGCACATCCAGGCAGGTCCAGCCTTGGGCCATGAATAGGAGGGGAGGGCTTGTGGTTCCCTGGAGAGGCCTGGGGTCATCCATCTGAGAAAGAGAAGCAGGGGAATGTCACAGACTAATTTCAGTGAACAAAGGGGGTTTGGTTGAGACTTTCTGTGAGTGTGTATGGTGCTGGGATTTGAACCCAGGACCTCTTGCAGCTGGGCAGGTGCTGTACCACTGTACTCCCCAGCCTGCTTGTAAGTTTAAAAAAAAAAAAAAGGTCGTGACGTGGATCAGTAGTTATATTGTGGTCTTCTACAGTCTAGGAACTTCCCCTTCCCTCTGATGACATTACATATGACTTTATTCTGTTTGCTCCAGATGGCCCGGTTGCCCCCATCATAAACCCCCCAGACTCACATTTCCGTCCAGGGACAAATCTCAACCTCTCCTGCCACGCAGACTCTAACCCGCCTGCTCAGTACTCTTGGTCTTTCAATGGGAGGCCCCTGGAATCCACCCAAGAGCTCTCAATCCCCAACCTCTCTACAAATAATAGTGGATCCTATGTGTGTGTCACCCATAACCCTGTCACTAACCTCAATAGGACCACAACCAAGAATATTACCATCTCTGGTAAGTGGACCCTGGAGCACAGTATCAAGTACTGGGTGGAGTCTTGATTTTTCTGGAAACATCATGGAAGAAGTTACTTCCTAGCCTGGCACAAGCAAATCCTGTCCTCTCCTGAGCCTCCCGCTCCATCCCAGAGACTCTCCTCTTGCTCTGACTTCTCATGACCAATCTAGGGTCCAGCCTGGAATGTGGGGAGGGGCTTCTCCCAGACCCAGGAAGTCTTAGGTAGAGGAAGGACCTTCCCATCGAGGGGGAGGGTCCTTGAAGTCAAGTCCCTTCTTTCCGTCACTAACTTGTCCCTTTCTGTCACCTCTCTGCTTTCTGTTACCTCCTCCGTGAGCATCAAGGAACCTGCATGGCTTTGCAATATGTTCATCCTCTTTTTCCCCAAATGACAGGAGGAAAGCCCCCTCAGATGGGGGATGAGCAGCTCTGCTCCTGTCCTGCTCCGACTCCATCTGGGGTGGGAGGGGTGGGTGGGTGGGAAAGAGGCCTGGGAGGCCCTTATGGAATCTGGATCAATCGTGTGGTCAGTTGGTGCCTCCCAAGTCAGGAGCAGGGGAGGGAAAGAGCCAGCCTGGGGGCAGATGCTTCTGAGTTGTGTCCTGGCTCTGAAGTCCCCAGGTGCATAGGGTTGGGAACACAAGCCCATGTCATGCACCACGGAGAATAGCAGAGATGCACACCTGGAGGGACGGGAGCCTCACCTGCAGAGTCCCTGCGAGGCCGGGCAGGGCGGTGCCGAGAGCATGTGTTTGCAGAGAGGACAAGCGTGCCGGGGTGTGTCAACACTGTGACCTTCATCCCCACAGGTTTCTTTCACTGTGATATTTAATCCACAGGCCAGGAAATAAAAGTCCTCTTCAAACTGACAAATCCTGTAGATTGGAATTTCTCCAGACACTAAGGTCATGAAGACGGGCTGGACCATCTTAATTCCCTGACAAATTATTTAATGAAAACTATACACTTTGCCTCTGAATGTAAAGGTTCTTCCTGCCTGAGAGCCTGACCTTCCAGAGGCACAGAAAGTACTAGAAAGAGATTGCTCGAGAGTGGATGGAAAAATTGTTCCACCTGAGGATGAGCTTGCTGGACAGATCCTGTAGAGACGTCCAGGGACCCTCAGGGTGATCTGAGGTCGAAGCAGGGGCAGCACTTTCCTTACATTGTCACCTGAACGATGACACCCAAACTCTGCAGAGGGTCAGGGCCATCTTCTGGGCCACCTTTCATGACTCACTGTGGGCCCTGAGCACTGGCTAAGGTCTCTGAGGAAGGACCACCTCAGTTGTCCCCTCCTTTTTGTCCACAGGACCATTGACACCGCCCCACCTCACAGCTAGCAACACCAAGGTGGCAGAAGGGGATTCTGTGCAGCTGGTCTGCATCCCAAATGACACTGAAATCTCCATCCAGTGGCTCTTCAATAACAAGACCCTGCGAATCACAGACAGGATGCAGCTGTCCCTAAACAACAGCATCCTGACCATAAACCCGGTCCTAAAGTTGGATGAAGGAGAGTATCATTGTCAAGTCTCCAACCCAATCTCTTCCCTAAAGAGCAACCCCATCACACTGACTGTGATCGGTGAGTGACCCTCTGGCCTACATCTTACTGGGGGGGATTTCTTTATCAGTGGTATAGAAAATGGATAAAAGTCACAGGGAAAAGAATATTATTTAATGAAAACTATACACTTTGCCTCTGAATGTAAAGCTACTTCCTGCCTGAGAGCCTGACCTTCTAGAGGCACAGAAAGTACTAGAAAGAGGTTGCACAAGAGTGAATGGAAAAATTGTTCCATCTGAGGATGAGCTTGCTGGATAGATCCTATAGAGATGTCCAGGGACTCTCAGGGGTCACTCTGGGTGATCTGAGGTCAGAAGGAGTGGCAGCACTTTCTTTAAATTGTCATCTGAATGATGACACCCAAACTCTGCCGAGGATCAGGGCCATCTTGTGGGGCACCTTACACAACTCACTGTGGGCCCTGAGCACTGGCTAAAGTCTCTGAGGAAGGACCACCTCAGGTCTGCAGCTGAAGCTCCTTCCACAGAGGAGGACAGGGCAGCAGAAGGGACCCCCTCAGCCTGTCCCTGCAGAGGGGGCATCTCCTGGCAGGGGATCCTGCTGGCAGGTAAGAGGGGACAATTCCCTGAAAGAAGGTGGGAGGTAAGAGGTGGAGCACAGTCTTGCTGGTGCCCCCTGGGGAGGACACAACCCTCACAGGGGACACAGGGCTTCACATGGAACCTGATGGGAACAGAACCCAGAAAGGAAGCTCACCAACAGGAAACTCTCAGTGACCTGGAGCTGGTGAAGGGGGACAGAAAGCTCAGGAGTATCTTCTCCAGGTCATCTCCTTCTCCTGGGACTAGGTGTGGTGAGCACAGAGGGACAGGTGCCTCAGGCCAATCAGGTGCCCTTATGGACCTCTATGGAGCTCCACAGGAAGGTCCATGTCCCCAAGGGGAGGAACAGAGGAAAGAGATGCCCCTGGAGCTCCTGGTTCTCACGGGACCAGCCCAGGGCGCTCTCACTGGGAGGCAGATCAGAGTAGGGGCTTTTTCTTTGGGGGCAGCTCCTCTAAACCAAGGTCAGGTTACTGTGAGGATTTCAAGGTTAAATTAGAGACAACATGGTGAACCAGACACCACTTCCCAGGTATCCAATAAAGGGAAACTGAGGCACGGGGAACACAGTTGCTGAATCAAGTCACACAGACCATGGGTGGCAGGTCAGTGGTGCATGTCACTCTGTATCCAGATTCCCATGCTCTGCATGCTGAGGGCCTATTAGGCATCTATTGACCAGAGACCAGTCATTGGCTCAGGGCACTGGCAGCTGGAGGGGACAGTGTGGTCTGGGAGTGAGAGCAAATGGAGAAAATCAACTTTTACTTTACAACCAAATACCCTCCCTCAACAGAGTGCCCAGGCCTTCCCCTCACACAGCCATCCAGGACCAGAGTGTCAATCCTGCGTTAATTGAGAAATCCTTTACATTTGAATCCAACCTTCTAAGCCATCAGGACTGGGCTGGGCGTCCTCACTCCCTAGTGGTCACTGAACTGCTCTACTCCAGGCAAATCCCGCCTGGGTCAAAGGTGGACAGGCTGATAGTCCCTCCTTCCCCAACATACATGGCAGAGGTTCCAGAAATCACAAACCAAACTTTTATAGAGTCACTGCTGTGGTGTGAATGTGCCCCCAAAAGCATGTAGTGGTAACTGAACTCCCAGGGATCTGAGGTGTGGCCTCAGGGAAGGACGTAGGTCCCTGTGAAAGGAACAAGGCTGCTGTCACAGAAGGGGACCAGGTCCTGCAGAGGTGGATTTCTGATAAGGGGTGAGTGTGGCCCCTTTCACTCCTCCTCTCCCAGGTGCTCTCTCACCATAGGAAGCCCCCTGCTGTTAAGATGCAACAAGCAGCCCTCTTCACATGGGGCCCCTAGATCTTGAACTTCCCTGGCTCCAGAACAGTGAGCAGGAGATCTCTCTTCTTTACACACCACCCAGTCTCAGGTGCTCTGTTAGAGCAGCACAAGATGCACCAAGACCAGCACAGAAGTTCTGGAAGATAAGGCACAAGAGTCCACGGGAAAACCCACTTGATAATGAGGTGGCTGGACCTGGGGCCTGAGAGGAGTTTCCCATCTGGATCCCAGAGGGATATCAAGGGGACCAGTCTGGGGTCTCCCTGAGGTCATCTAGGGTCAGAGGGAGGTTGAGCAAGTTCCTATTTTAAGATGAGGAAACTGAGGAGGTTGCTGTGTAGTCCAAGGTCAACGTATTGCAGTATATTTTGTAGTTTCCCAGAACAGACTTGAACCATTTCAGAACCAAGATCATAACAAGGGCATCTTATTTCTGGGTCCTCAACCACTGTCCATGGCCTCAACCATCCAGCTCATCCTCTGGACCACCTCACCCACATCACGATGGCCCTGAGAACAGGCAGATGTCTCTGAGGACAGACAGGGCCCCAGGCCTCAGGCCCGCTGTCAGTCAGCCCCTTGCTGTTTTTTCACAGGGCTTATGGCCCAGCCCTCCCTCAGAGCCACCAACACAGAACCACACTCTGTGGCCATGACCTGCCTCTCAGATGACCCTGGAATCTCCATCACGTGGATCCTCAATAGCCAGACTCTACAGCTCACAGACAGGATGCAGCTGTCCCCGGACCACAGCACCCTCAGCATAGACCCTGTCAGACAGTAGGATGCCGGGGAGTATCAGTGTGAGGCCTCCAACCCCGCCAGTTCCACCAGCAGTGAGCGCTACAGACTGGCTGTGATCTGTGAGTGGCCCCCGTGCCACCAGTGCTTCTGTCATATATTTCACTGTCAAGGGCCATCATATGGCAAAGCCATGAGCATGGGGTAGAGGCCAGAGCTTGGAGAGAATGTGGTTGACTACGTAGAAATTAGGTGCCTTGATGTCACCTTGGTTCTGATCTGTACCCGAGGCTGGGCCTGGGCTAGACAGTCTGTGAGGGCTGCCCACTGACACTGTCCTGTGATGGAAGGAAGAAAAGAGGAAGAGGGGGGTGGGGTGGGGCTCAGTGGTAGAGCACTTGCCCGGCCTGTGTGAGAACCTGGGTTCAATTCTCAGCATCAAACACACAAATGAATAAAATAAAGGACCTTCAACATCTAAAAAATACATTAAAATAAAAGAGAAGAGGAAGAGACCTTAACAGGAGCATGAGCAGGATGTGGCCCAGCTGCATGTGGAGAGGGTCAGGCTAGAGCACATGCAGGTTTCAAAACCAAACGTGAAGAAATCGCCAGAAGCAGAGAGTCGGGAGGACATGGTGACGACATGACAAACTGCACTAGGACCTTGGTGCCATTTCCTTCCACCCTCTGTGGCCCCCTGCAGGGCCTGGAGTGGTTCCCCTGAAGACCTGCCCTTCAGCCCCTTTCTCTTCTCTTTCAGCAGAAGAGAGGACCCCAGGCCTCCCTGTGGGGGCCGTCGCTGGCATCGTGACTGGGGTCCTGGTCGGGGTGGCTCTGGTGGCTGCTCTGGGGTGTTTCCTGCTCCACACAAGAAATGGAAGGTACCCAGGCTTCCCCCACCTGATCCCACCCCAGGTGACCCCAGGCCTGAGGGAAGGAGACCCATCCTCAGACTCTGGCCTGACTCAGACCTCCCCATTTCCCGAGGACCCTCCCCTCTCACCGCAGCCACCCCCTGTCCCTCACCAGCTGCTGGCCCTGGGCTGATTGCTCAAGAGCTGCCTCCTCTGCACATTGGTCACCAGGACCTGTCCCCACAGCACTGGTGTCCCTCCCTAGACTAGGGTTCAAAACGGCACCTCCTGCAGTATTTGCGCCCACACCAAGAGAGGGCTGAAGCTATGTGTATGAGGGGTCCTGTCCCAGGTCACTCAGGGCAAGGGCTGGGGCCTGGAGAGGAAGGTGGGTCCACTCTCCACACCTCCTGTGTGACCCAAGGCCCCTGATGTGTGAGGTGGGATCCCAGGGCCCAGCCAGATAGTGTGTCCTAGAAAGTTCTTTGCCTCCTGGCCACGTGGTGAAGAGCACAAAAGGCCACTGTCACATTACCTCATCTCCTGGCCTAAGCAGAGGGTCCTCCACAGCCCAATCACCAATGGGGGTCAGGGATTTCCAAGATGCACGTGGTTCCAAAACGTCTTGCCTACGTGGTGACCCTGCTTCCCTGCCCCCAGGGCCTGGACCCTTCCACTCAGTCAAACTCTCCTGCTCTAATTCTTCCTCAATCCTCAGTCCCTTTTCTGGGTCCCTCAGCCAATGATCTCCTGGATCCGTCTGCACCTGGGAGGGTCTTTCACCTTGGCCCAGGGCAGCAGTGTCTTCTTAAGGCCTTTCCTCTGCTCCCCTCTCCTGGGCCCCCTGGTACACAGACCTGATGGGGAGAGGAAGGTTTCACACCCTCCTTGGAAATGGGGTACCCTCCTCATCCCCCATCTCGCCCCAGTCCATGACCCTCATGAATAAGCCGGACCTTTCCTAGGGCCAGCGTCCAGCTTGGCCTCAGAGAACACCACACCCCAGCATCAAGACCCGGTAAGTGTCCCCTCAGCCTGAGGGTGACTGGGAGCCCCTAGGCCTGCCCCATAGTGTCCACCCTTGCTCACGTCCAGGGTTGAATGTTTACACTGAGGCTTCAAGGATCCCTGTCATCAAACACAACAGGGGACCCACCTGGCGAAGCCAGCCCAGACTTGTGGCATCTGGTCTCCTCCTCATGTTCCTTGGCTCCTTTGGGCCACTACAAGGGCTACAGGGTCTCTCCCAGGACATGCTGTCTCCCTGACACTCTGAAAGTTGAGGACCCCTAACCCCTCCTGCAGCAGGGGCCCAGCCCTCCTCACGCTTCTGCTAACTCTTGACTCTGTCCCCAGGCCAAGGTCCCTCTGACAGCTCCACCTCCCTGGTAAGTCCCCCCAGCTATCTCTACACAGGGGACTAGCTCTGCAGGCCCAGGGCAGGGGCACTGTCAACCCCCACACAGCACAGACACCCCCACTCATGTTGCTCCAAGACAAGGTTAGCCTGGCCCTGGCCAGAGACTTGGCCACTCTCAAAGACAGGACCACCATCACTCTGTCCTCAGCCCACCCTACTTCCTGCCATCTAGGGGAGTCCTGGTGCAGAGTGGGAGCTGGGAGCTTCTATCAGTGGTCCTGGGTTAATGATGGGGACCATAGTCTGGACAGAAACTGGGGTGTCTGTCCTGAAGTGGAGGCTGGTGCTCAGGACCCAGAGCTGGTACCTCCTGAGAAGAAAGGGCTAATCAGACACAGGGAGTAAGCTCTGGCCTGTCAGAGACCAGAACCTTCCAGGCACCACCCAGCACCTGCTCACTGGAGTCTCAGCCTTCAGGATCCTCCCTTTGCTGACCCTGATTTCCAATCTCCCTCCTGCCAGGCCCCACCCCCTGGCCACAGAGCTGCTGTTCCCATCTACCAGGTGAGTGTGGTGATGACCCTTGCCCACAGTCCAGGGCATACCCAAGAGATGCCCCTCCCCATACCTTCCTGATCTTGCCAGGAAACAGCAGCCAAAATGGGATCAGGGGGTGGTGAGCAGGGGATGGGGGGGGCCTGGGAACAGGAGCCTCTGAGCCCAGACAGACACAGGGACAGAGCAGTCCCCAGTGGGCCAGGGCCTAGGAGTTCATGGTCCCCTGGTTCAGAAGGGTCAGAGGCCTCTTTGTTCTTTTTCAGGAATTGCTAAACCCTGACCTGGACATCTATTGCCGGGTCGACCACAAGGCTGATGTGGATTCTTAGTTTCCACCACACGATGCTCCATGTGGGCTGAGGGAGGGTCCTGCTAGACCCCAGATGCTGGGTAATGGGACAGAGGTGGAGCCTGACCCTATAGGACCCTGGAACCTAGAGGGGGAGGGGTCCCTGGAGATTCTAGAGACACAGGCTGCCCTGGGCTCTGAACGGCCAGAACTAGGCTGCCTGTGCCCAGGAGCAGGGCCTTCCAGGGAGAAGGAAGGGCCAGTACTGGTCACCTGGAAAGGCGCTGAATAAAGACCCCCTTCCCTCCTTTGCACATTTGGTTCTTGTGGGAACGTCTCTTGGCAGACACTCCCCTCAAGTTCCCCATCAGCTCTCTCCTGTGTCACGCAGGGGAATCGTGGTCTCTAAGTTGTTCCCACAGGGTTTCTCTTCCTGGGAGACAGGAGCTGGGAGGTGGAGCCAGGGCAAAGGTCGGGTCTGTCCCAGGGAAGGGTGAGGGTCCCAAGGCCCTGCAGCCAGCAGAGCACTAAGCGGCCCTCACGCTCCAGGGACCCAGGGTGGCTATCTCTGGCCAAGATTTCTTCTCCACCCAAAGGCCAGTACTCAGCACATCTTCACCTCTGCTGGGACATGGACATTGACTATCAGAGTAATCAGGGGACAGGGCCAGACCCAGACTCAGGTCCTGAACAAGGGCCTCAGGCCCTGCCCGAGGCTCCAGCCCTGCCCTCCCATCACCATCCACTCTGCCCTGCCTGGTCTCCCTGGGACCAGCCTCATCTGCACACTCCAGCACCCAGGGCAGAGGCTCAGGGCTCCCCCATGGAGCTCTCCAGGCTCCATGGTGATGGGACAGAGGGTCTCCTCCCTGACCAGGATGTGCTCTACAGCCTCCTCAATACACCTGGCCACTGCTCTGACTCCTTCCCTGAAGGCTGGGCAGGGGACATTCTCATGTAGGTTCATGATGTAGATCAGGCCACTACATTCCTGGAAATTAGAGGTAAATTTAGTAAAGATTAGGGGACACTCTGCTGATGCCTGAGAGTTGTCTGTCCTGACATGACAAGTAGGAAGTCATCCTCAGAGATTCCACTGTGACTCAGCTCTAGTGAGGCTCGTCCTGCATGAACATAGCATCAGGTCACACACGATGACTTCTCTTTTCTTGGTTTCGTGGTGCAGCTGCCACAGACTGGCTCCCACACAGTGGCTCCGAACAGCAGATACCAAGGTGTCCTGAACTGCATTCTTCTGGAGGCTTTTCTGGGTGTGCGCAGGAACACAAGTCCCCTGAAAAACTTAAAAGCATCTTAAAAGCTCATGGAATCTTTTCCCCCAGGTCCTGTCCTGGGAACCACACCAGCTGGAGCTCCCCCTGAGCACCGCATCCTGCTCCCTGAGCCACACACAAGCCCCTGGGAAACTGTGTCAAGCCAAGCCCTCCAGGAAGTGTCATGTCAGGTCCCACTCACCCCCCCCCCCAGGTTGCCCAGTGGAAGAGTCACCTGTGTACTCAGGGGAGTCTCCCTGACGTGGATGGGGTGGATTCCTCTTCACCTTCTGCATCTGAGCAGTCCCCAGGGTCCTCTGTACCCTGTCCCTGTGCCCAGAGTTTCTCCCTGGACACAGCCTCAGACCCTGATGGGGCAGATGAGGGGCTGACTCTCCAGCAGTCCTTCCCATTTTCCCCAGGTCAACCTGCTCAGCCCCTGAGACCCTCCCCTCTACAGGTGCCATTTGCTCTGAGCTCCTGAACACCTGCCCCCACATCATGCCAGCTTCAGGTCAGTGACAACCACCAGCTCTGACATTTGCCCCCAAGGCAGGTGTCTGAGCAGACTCACCAAGTGGGACACCTGAGGCTTCAGCATGCAGGAGCACCCTAGTCCCTCTCCTCCCTCCCTGAGGGCAGCAGGCCACACAGGGTGTCTGTGAAACCAGCCCTGATCCAAAACACAGCTTCAGGTCCCTCCTGACCCTTTACAGAGAGAGGTGCTGGGGCAGTAGCAGCCACTAGGAAATTTGACTGTCAAGGAAACACTCGGTCCCATCCCTCCTCATACCTGTGAAAAGAACAGACACATACAATACAGCTGGCCTCACCATATGTCCCAGAGGTCATTCCCAGGCCAGCTGCAGCCAGAATAGCAATCTACTTGCTGCTCTCTCCCTGTGACAGCAGGTGCTGCTTTTGCATTGTGGCCTGGGATGCCCTGCACCCCGCCCCCAGGGAACCCAAATCTGCCTGTGCCCTGCCTCAGCCACACTCCTCAGCCTCCTTCTCCCCTCCACCTCCCTGACCTGCACAGAGAGGGGACAGCCCTCCTAGCCCCTCCCTGCTCACTATTAGCCTTGGGTGCTCATCACGGGGTCTGAAGGAGTCACCTCTGCTCAGGTGGATCATTTGTGGGACCAGGAAGACAGGAAAAGCCTCCCACATCCTTCGACTCTCAGGGAAAATAAACACAAAACAACTCCAACCAAAAGTCAGAAGGCAAGGACGTCCCATGGATTCCTAACAGTGCACCATCCTGGTTATGATCTTCTTCAAGAGATACCTCCATGTCCTTCTTTTGAAACTTTAGGACAGTTGGCTCCTCCTGAGGCTGCCCATCCTTGTTTGCAAAGTTCTCCCAACTCTGAGCAGGAGTCCTCAGGACAACCCCGTCCTCTCCCTAGACTCACCCTGCACTGGGTGTCAGGCACCCTGGGGACCCAAGGTGAACAGGACCTCTCCTATAGCCTGTAGGTCAGAGCCACCTGAGCCCAGTGTCAGGGCCAAATGTCACCATTTGGACCCGAGGCAGCATCCCTGCTATAGTCCCTGACAATGGCCATGGGTCTCCTCATGACTTTCAGGGGCAACAATGGGCCTTTCAGTCAAATTCAGCCTTGGGATTCTTTGAGACAGGAGTGTGGCCTTGGCTGGAGGTGGAGGTGGAGATGTCGCCTGATTTTCACCTGGGCACCAATGGCCCTGTGGGCTCCACCTCACATGCCTGCTGTCCCTGACCAAGACAGGCTGTAGTGCACATCCTGATCGGGGAGGAGACCCTGTGTCCCATCACCATGGAGCCTGGAGAGTCCCATGTGGGGAGCCCTGAGCCTCTGTTCCTGGGAGAACCCTGCTTGGCCATGGGTCCCTTGTAGTCCCCTCCTACCTCCATCACTCATGGGGAAAAGCAGGGTGACCACAAGAGGACAGAGGACAGAGGCCACCCACAGAGGACATGGGCAGGCCTGAGCCACAGCTGCACAACAAATGGAGAGAAAAGTTCTCCCCGAACTCTTTCCCCAAGAGCAGCAGAGCCCAGGGTCACTGCCTCCCATTGCCAAACCTCTTCCTAGGACCCAGGTCACCTGCCCTTGCACACCCAGGCCTGAAGTTCCCTCTGAGACACATGGATATGGGATGGAGACATGTCTCCAGCCTAGCTCAGATCCCATATCCAATTCTACCCTCCAGATCCAAGGTGTCCCCTTCCTGTTGGTAGAAAAGCCTCCTTCCCAGAGCTTTGAGAACATAGGGAAGATGCAGGGCCAACCTGGGATTCTCCATCATAAAAGGGAATATGCCCAGTTTTGTGGCACCTCAGGGGTTCCCTGTGTGGTGCTGATAGCCCTAAGACCAAGAAACCTGAAGCCAGTGGTGGGGTGAGACCGCTCTCTCAGGGGACGGTGACAAAGCTCTTGTTTACCATGCCCAATGCCCTGAGTTCAGTCCTCAGCTCTGGTGGAAACTGAAGGGAATAAATAAAAGCAATTAGTGACACGATAAGGGACCCTTAGGACAGAGGCATCCCAGTGTTCCCACCCAGGTGGGTGACTGGTGAATGAGCAGGAAGCCCCTCCAGCTGAGCACTCACTGTGTCCCTCAGCCTCCTCCCACCCCAGCACCCAGGACTGACCACATCACCAGAGAAGGCCCTGAGACAGAGAGCTTGGAGAGAAATGGACACACAGAAGCCCTGGGCCCTGCTGCTTGCCTTCCAAGGACAAGTCCCGAGGTCATTGTCCAAGAGGGGTTGCCTCTGCCCAGCCTGGCTCTGTGGACAGTGCCTGTGCCTTCCTGCCCTTCCCTGCCCAGCCCACTCCCTGGGTCCTTCTCCAGGTGCCTCTAGACAAACCTGGTGTGGCTGTGCCCCTGTGAGGTGTGTGGAGAGGCTGAGTCTCTGGTGCATGTGTCTCAGAGTCACGTCACGAACATCTCTGGTGTCCAGGACTGGAGAGGAAGGACAGAGCTCCAGCTCCTTTATGTGAGACAGGAAGTGCCAATCCTGGGTTCCCTAAGTGCTGCACGGGGCCTTCTGCAGAGAGTCAGGCCTGGTCACCCTGCAGTAAGACCTGGGCCAGGCCCTCCTGTGTCAACGCATCCTGGAGTCTGTGTCTGGGGAGGCCGATGCTCTGTTCCTGGGAACACCAGGCCCCGATGGTACACTTCCTGCCTGACCTTCAGGACGCAGGCCCCTCAGGCCTCAGTTCTGCATGCACAGAAAGGGTCTTTCTGCCCATAAAGAAAGTGGGTCTTTGCCCTGCTCTGACCCCTCTTCCTCCTAGTCTCAATCACTGGATGAATGTCACACATCACAGTCACCTCAGAAGCAAGGAGGTCCCATCTCCCCCTCCTCCTGTCTCACAGGCCTTCCAGAGCCTTCTCTGACAGACTCACAGGACACTTGGGGGAGATCTGGGCCTGGCCACAGGCAGGGTCATGTCTGCTGGACCATCCAGGGAATGCAGATGGTGGCTACTGCCGGGATATGGAGAACTGGGGGTGCTGAGGGGAACCACCTGTGGCCAGGCATCTAGCTTCCTGCTGGGAGGACAGCAGAGCTCCAGACATGGAGGTGACCTGGGGGGATGGACAGATTCCACTCAGGGAGACCCCCCAACAGAGGACCCCTGACCATGGGGTCTGCCACACACTGCTTTAGGACCTGACCTAAAGGGGATTTGGCCCCAATAGGTGGAGTCACACTGAGGGCCACATGCAGCCCAAGGTTCTAACCTTGCCAGCCAGCAGGACAGAAGCCTC